ATATATATATATATATATATATATATATATATATATATATATTAAAGTATGTATAAATATATATATATTCAAGTATATATAAATATATATACTTCCCTTACAAATATATATATTCTCTTACAAATATATATATTTGTAAGAGAATGAAGGAGATGAACTCACGCCAATATTTGACTTTTTGCATTCTGACGAACAATATCCATTATAACGCAGGCGTCTCGTTTGAAATGAGAAATTATCACCCTCCCAATCAGCACCTAATCAGCACCTTCGCGGTTTCTTGTTAACAATCACAACTCGCACGATTTCTATTATATTGCAGATTTAGAATCTTAGCCGAACGAAAGAATTATGTCATCGATGTAGCCAATAATGTAGAAGAGCAATTTACGTTACGAACTGTAAATTCTTCCACATTATTGGCTACATCGATGACATTGATTCTTTCGTTCGGCTAAGATTCTGAATCTGCAATATAATAGAAATCGTGCGAGTTGTGATTGTTAACAAGAAACCGCGAGGGTGCGCGAAGTCAGGAGGTAATCGTTCGTCAGACAACAAAAGGTCAAATATTCGCGCAGGTTTATCTCCTTCGTTCCCTTCGATCGTGTATCGTTTCCAGGGGATGCGAGGAAAAGAGCTAAAAGGGAAAGGAAATAGAGATAATTTCATCGCGCGCGCGCGTCTTGCGAGGAAGAATCTTTTGCGACTCCGCTGCTCGGACACTTGTGGCGAACCTTGTTCCCTTTTCGTTCTTTGCGAACTAGCGAACCGTCGTGAAATGTAACTGTATTTAAGATTAGATCTCAATACGTCGCAACTGTATGCAAGGCCTAACTACTACTATGTAGATCGTAAGTCTCGTCGTCGTCTGATCGGGAAACGAACGAAAGAGAAAAAAAAAAGGAAATATGTGCGAATATATATGACGTATATATATATTAAACGAATCATTCCTCGATGCTGTATATCGAAATACTACGATATAATGTAATTGCGTTAAAACTACTCGTCTGAATCCTCGTAAATGAAGTCCCATGCGTTATGTATCGTTATATACATTGTCACACGTACGCGCGTACGCGAGAGCGCGGACGGCGTTTCATACTCTCGCGGATACGTGCGTGCGTATTTCCACGCGCGTACAAGGCAAGGCACACTCACGCGTTACCGTAATAGCAAAGAAAAAAAAAAGAATAAAAATTGCACGCCCTCGCGTCGTCGCGGATATGCCTTCTCGAAGAAAAGCCTCATTCGATGTTGAACTTGAAAGTTTTAACACTTGTTAATTAGCTGATAAAAAGAAGAAAAAAAAAATGCGTCTCTCGCGATCGGCATCGCGCGATTTTGTGCGTCGCGATGATTGGACGCAACGTGAAAAAGCGTCGTCGCGTTGTGCGTCGTCTTTAGGTATAAAAATAACTCGCTCCTGTACATGTACAATATTATATACACGACGATCGGAAGGGAGGGGGGTGGCTGTGTGTTCGAACGGATGGATGAATGAGCGAATTTCTCTCGTTTCGGCCCCGAGCGAAGAAGACTCCGACAAATTGTAACTCTTAGTACGTAAATCCTCGACCGTAGATGCAATTGTTGGGAAAAAGAAAAAAAAGAGAAAATGTTGTACCGAAGCGAATAAAAAAAGTTACAGGCCCACCTGTATACACATACAATACAACACATACATATATATATACACACACAGATACCTATGCGCGCGTATATTATATATACAAGATATATACTACATATATTTTTATGAAGTGATGAGGTAACAACGCATAGCTTGTAATATCGATTCTAACGACCGACCGATTTACCTTGCCCCTCGCGTGCGATTAAACGATTGAGCGGCTGTAAGCATTGGACAAGTTCTTTCCACGTCTTTCTACCTCGCTATTTTTTTTCCTCTTTCTTACTCCGCTCTTGTCCCTTTCTCTCCCTCTCTTTCTTTCTTTCTCTCTCTCTCTCTCCTCTCGAAGCGTGATGATCATTGAGAATGTAAAGATCGTGATTTTTTTTTCAGGTTCGCGGTAATTACACCGTAGAGCCGTCGTTTAAACGAATTTTATTATTTCATTATTATGTACATGTACGAAGTGAACGTTCGTTGCCCGAACTTAAATGTACTTTTAATCGATCGATTTTGAGTTATAAACTGTTCTCCTTTCACTTGAGTATTATAATTTCTGCGTACCCTTTTCACACCTATACCTACACCTTAATTGTTGTGCGAGAAGAAGAATAGCATAACTTCCAATAAATATTAAGCTGCGATAGACATGAGAAAATTCAAAGACACTCGTTCGATATATGTATACAGATCGAAGTGATTCAAAGGAAACTTAATCGAAGAGAAAAATAAAATCGATATATATATATATTTGAACTCACCTTGTAGAAGACATCCGGAACGTATTGCTTGTCGGTCGACTCAATTACGTAGCCCAATTCCGGTGCGTCTTTCGTAGGAACCAAACAGCCGTCTCGTACCAACGCCATGCACTGATTAGATACTTGATAACCCTCCATGTGTACTTGATTTTTATCATCACCTGTAATTTAGACAAAAAAAAACAAAAAAACAAAAAAACAAAAAAACGTGTATTTGACAAATTGTTCTACATGGCGTTTGTAACGAAGATTTCGTAACTGTTATTGTGAACGTGAAGATAGCGTTGTCGATTGTAATTATATGTGTATTATTAGGTTGATTAAAAAGCTTATTTCCGTCTTGTCCTATGCGAGACTCTTATTCCAACAAAATAGTTGACATTATTTATGAATAAGAAATAACTTCAGTTATTTTTAACAAGAGAAAAAGCCAGTGATGAATAAAAAAATTTTTAATCAACCTAATATCTTTGAAGCCAGAGAAAAAAAGAGAGATCGTGAAGTGAGATTGTCTTACCTGTGACGCAAACGGTTATACTTTTTGAGCCAAAAAAACCATTAGGCGAGAAACGGCAGGGGTTTGGGTATCGGTTTTGAAAATACCCAGCCATTATGCACTCTTGAGCAGATAGGAAATGGCTTTCTATATTGCGAACATGCTTGACCTGATTGAATAAAACTGACAAAGTTAATCGCCGCACGTACGAAGTCGGTACACGAGCGAATTGCGTAAGGAATAAAAAAAAACTGTGTCAAATTACCGTTCCCTTTTTAACATCGTCGGCTATGAGATCAGTGAAAATCCATCCGACTCTCCTCAGATTAAGTGTCCGGCCTAATTCCTCGACTAACGCTTCCCTCTCGTCCGGCAGAAGTCTTATTGTGTCTTTTGTACTTTCCTGACAAATCAACGCGAATGTTATTTCGATGCTTATTTATCAAAAAAAAGAAAAAAAAGAAAAAAAAGAAAAAAAACATGTATGTTCATAGATTTCATCGAGGATCGTACGAGCGCTACGTACCTGCGGTGGTTCGTATATAGCCGTAACGACGGCTCTAATTCCTAGCGGGACATCCGAGTGTACTTCGTATCTTCCGTACAGATAGCCGATACGCTGGTGCCCGGTGCTACGCCAGTAATTAAGAAAACGTTCTACTAAACTAGCATTTTCGAACACGATGTTGTCCACGTGCCGATAAGTCTGGCGATTCAGAGTGATCGAGTTCGGTTGGCACTTGCTGCAGATTCCTCGCGGCCACGGCGGATGGTCCTTGCAGCCAGTCTTTATACGGCAGCTTATGTCGTCTAATTGTATAAACTTGCCCCTGTGCGACAAATATACACAAGATACAATCGAATTGTTCTTTTTTTCTGTCATGAATCCTTGCAATCACACATACCTATCAACTCCGGCAGTGAGCTTCCTGAGATATGAATGAAAGGACAGATGCTTGATATTTTGTTCTTTTAGGTAAATTTCATCAAAAGGCTCGAGAGGAGAACAGTGCACGCAGCATCCTCTCGCTCCATGCCGACAGCTGTAAAAATAAATTTCTCTCTATTTCCCACCACGATACTACCTTTAAATTTCTTAGATTACTTACAGTTTTTCATCACGTTTACGTTGTATTTTCCCATCCAGTTTCCATAATTGCTCGTCGACGTCATCCTCGACTACACTTGGCAGAGATCGTGAGAGAATAGGTGTACGATTTGTAAATCCATTTGTGGTGTCCATTGGCGCTGCTTCTGTAACATTTCAAGCATACAAAGCAATATTAATATAAATTCCGAGCTCTGATAAATAGAATAGTGTTTTTAATTAAATATACATTATTTTTCTTAATTATTATAATTGTTTTCTAATTTAATATTAATGTTATCATCTTTATTACTCCCTAAAAAATAATATGCTTTATCTTAATTCTAATTCTGCCATGTAAATGAATGATCAGCACCTGAAGTAGTGTTGGAGGCACTGCTGGTCGATGGAGCACTCCATAGCTGAGTGTCATTGGCTGGCGCAAGATACAGCATATCTCCATGAGAAAGACCAGCTCCTGACACTGTTCTACTTCGAGTAGATGTAAGCAGCTCATTCTGATTTCGTTGCTTACAGAGATTAAATCCAAAACTATTTAAATCAAAAGCTTCGTACACCTAAACAAGAAATAATCCAGATAAATTTTAACCAGGTTATGAAGTATGATACTTAAAAAGAATAATATATCCATACCTTTTCATACAGTTGAGAAAGTGTATCAGAAGGTAGTACTTCTATACGTTTTGTTCCTTCTGAGGACTGTACGCGTAGAATCTGAAAAGACACAAGATATAATATACACATAACATACGTATGATATAATATACAAATTTATGTTTATTCAACCAAAAGTAACACTCTCAAAATCTTAAAAAATAAAATTATTTAACTTTCTATACTATTCATTTGATTGAAACAAGTTTTATACAAAAACAAAATTGTAATAGAAAATATCTACTATCTACTATCTTTTATACAAATAATTTCTATGTTTAGATTCATTGCAATAATAATCCCAAATAAATCATTTGCAAAAGCAACAGATGAGCTCCAAATTTTCTAATTTCTGTGCGTAAGTTACATAATTGACTGTGCATTCGAGAAATTATCAAGTCACGAAAATAAATGTTACAAAGAAACGCGTATGTTTGATGTCAAACTTTTGTTCATTTATAATCATAAAAATTACCAATAATTAGAAAAACGTATGGAGAGCTAAATAACATTGCAAAAAGTCCAAACAAACTAATTTTATATTAGTTGTGACTGGAAATTTTTCACAATTACACTATGAGACCGCGTGGAACACGATCGCTCGCGCCGGAATACATAAATTTCGCACGAGAACGCAAGGCGATTTCGTGATCGAGCGTATGCATGATCACGATGGAATCACGTTCACGATTCTATCGCTGATTATCAGCCAATGGATACATGCAGTGTTGACTTACAAATTGCCCGGGTTTTGACATTTCGCCGGTGTTGTCGGTGGTGCATCAGCTGTTCAGCCCGCTATAACGTATTGCCGCACGAGTGCGCGGCGGCGCCAAAGTCCCTAGTGCGCGGCGACGCTCCGCGCTTGAAGAAAACTGTCGAGTCAACGTCGGGTCTGTTGGACCGACCAACCTAACCTCCACGTCTCCGCGGTGACGAGCGACTTCCCCCGCGAGCGATGCCGCGGCGATTACAACGGAATATATTGATGTCACCGCGCGGTTACTTCCCACGTCAGTTACGCGCACCTCTTTAGTCCCGCACTGCCGTTTGTCTGTGGCGTTTTCCCGCCGTACCACACGGAGATAAGAGTCAGCTGAGCGAGCGTGAGCAAGAGAATCCTACGATTTTATCGCAGTCACTTGATGCAGTGCAACGAACCCATCGACTGACTAGGCAATCATTCTGCCACTGAGCCCGAGTCACCAATGAACGAGTTCGAGTTGGCGCGGGTCGAGTCGCTGTTGTGAGTCTTCGAGAGAATTGTCGACGCTGGGTAAGTGGTTCGCTTGGCGCGCGCTCCGTTCCTTCTGTTCGCGACCTCGCTCGGTTTTTTTCCCCTCTCCGACCGTCCCGACCGATCGAATTCACGCGTGTGCGATGACAAGAACAACGTCGAAGACGACACGCGCTCGTCGCGCTTTTTCTCCGCTAGCGGATTCACGACGCGCTCCGCGCACTATGCAACCTGCGTTACAGTAGGGTGGAAGCGGACGCCGACCCCTGGGCGCCCTTTCGAAAGAGCACGCTGTCGATATATGCGCGCTCGACGCGCTTCGAAGAATCGGTTGTGCGCGTAGCAATGCTGCGCCGTGGCGGCGTTTCGAACCCTCTCTGTTTCTCTCTTGCGCTTAGGATTGCACTTTCAATGGCTCGCACAAAACAATGCTACCAATGCGCGATAAAAAGTAATAGCCAATCAACCTGCCGTTTTTTTTAATATAATAAAATGTAACGCAATATGATTGGTTTCTTAATTTTGTCGCTCGATTGTTTTCAGAGGAATTTTATTTCCGAAGGGAGGTATGCTTATCTAGTGTTTTTATTTTTCTAAGATTATTTGACGTAACGGTTATTTGTAAAGTAATCAACTTTTGTTAAATGTGAGGTACGCAATTGTTATCTCATTGTGGGGAAGGAGACGCATTAAACTAATCGCGAATTGTTGTCTGGTCATGGCCACGATGCCGGCAATCTTCACCAGGTGATCGTACTCGGATATAAATAAATCAGGCGCTGGCACATCTTTTGCCGGCGATGAATTTCAATGTAATTAGACGAATCGGCGATTGACGTAAAACATGGTGACCTCTTGGTAAGGTTTGCATGATTGAATATCTTATTTGTAAAACCTTAATGAACTTAATCGCTAATTTTTCGGACTCAGCATTGATTTTCCAAGACCTTTTTGTTAATTCTTTTGCGAAGTCTTAAATGGTTTTTAAAGAATGTTACGGACAGTATCAAATATAGCGTTTCAAAATTTTCTAAATATATATTCTTCCTGTTTAGAGAATCTCTTGATTCATATGCACTTATGTTTCAGAAACGAAGAATCATAATGCATATAATGTATTTTTATACGCGATACACGTCCAAGAGGTACTTGCCAACATATCTAGCCAACACTCATTATGTTTCGGAATAACTATGAAATCATATGGAATGTATAAATGTATAAAAAAAAAAACACCTACGAAAGGTATATATATATTTTAATAAGTCATTGAAATATGTACATCATTCAACAGATGACTCAGCTATATTTTTTAATTTTGCTAACATGGTTTTTATCTTTCAAGTGTTACTATACACAAAGATAACTATCAAAGATAATTATCAAAGATCATTATTGACAATTGTAATTAGCGTAAACACAGTCGAGTATCTCTATTTTGAATATCCTCTATTTTTAACTTTCTTCTAATCCAGCCAGATGGAATCCTGCAGTCTCAATTGCTCTTCTAATCGGTTATCTGTCAGTTATCACGTGACTATGCGAGCATGCGTAAGATGTATATGATCAAATCGGCATTATCATTCTGCACATGTCATTCGGCATCAACAGTGGAGATCGAGGTTTAGAGGAAGTTTAGAATGGAGGATAAGCCACTTAATCCCGGATAAGAATAGAGAAAACCGACTGTAATGATGATGGAACGCGACGGCGGGCAAGCGCTGCCTCTGCACGCTATGACTCTCTTACCTCTTTACTGTGTGTTTCTTCCTGCCAAGAACCGACTACGGCGCCGTGAGAGACTCCACGAGCCGCGGAGGGTCGCTTACTCCGGTGAGGATTTCGGCGCGATCAGTTGCATTTGCTAGCCGGTAGTCATCTAGCGCGGAGGTGCATCACAGCCCGCTCAGGAAACGACTGCTTGGTTTGCACATAATTTGTCAAGTTTCTTCTTCATCGTGATTGACCGCATCGACTTCTCATCATCCTCATCATCGTTATTGTGATCAACTAGAAGGCCCGCTGTTTTCATCTATTCTCCGTTTCCGCAGAGGTTGTACCCGCGCGATAATCGATCCACCTGTTAGCCATCAATGAAAACAAGAAGGTAAACCTTTATCTTTGTTGATGCTCTTTTTATTGTTTTTTTTATTTGCTGCTTCCTAATCCTTACTTTTTTATTTAAATAATTGACTTTTAATTTATCTTTAATTTTCAGTGTTTGACACTAGTGATTATTTCTTTGTGCTTTATGCTTAAATCTAAATAGCTATGCCTGACAATTGTTTTTTTATTGACTTGAGAATGATTGAAATACTTGATCTAAATTATTAAATTACTTGACCTGGTTTGAATTATTATATATCAATTCTTCGATACGATATGATCATAATTTGATAACATAATATAAACATAGACATACACAGTACACTTTTCTGCAATATTTCATTGATTTTAGTGAAGATGTTTAGAAATTCAGATAAACCTGGCGATCTATTTATCGTCAACAAATTCCAAACATGTTTCTCGCGAGTCTATCTCTCGCATTATTCACATCGCGATGACATCACCTAAATTATGAAGCGTCAATTTAATCTAATTCTCGTTAGCATATATATGCGCTTATACAAGATATATGCAGATTACACATTTATACGCAATATTAACGTCATTTTTTTTAATCTATAGATTTATTATATATCATAATTTTTGAGTTATAGCTTTGAACATCGTGTTTCTTCATAACCAAGCTTAAATTTAAAATTCTGTTGTTTTTTTTACCATTAAAATATACTTTTGACATTCTTATTTATTTAAAAATATATCTGTGATTTGTAGAAATTTTAAAATCGGATAGAAATATGAAATATTAATAAATTAAAGTAAAATTGAAATAAAATACGGAATAATGTTTCTATCTGTTTTTCGTTACTGCTAAAGAATAGTTATAAAATCTATTTTAACTTGGATATTTATAACTCGAAAACTATTCAGGTTCTTCTGGATTTCTCGACATCCTTCACAATCATTTAAATAGATCAGATCAAACAACTCGTGTATTAAGAGAATGGAGCAATCGCTTTGCGACACCCTGTATATACACATAGATACGTCTAAACTGCTGAATCATAGCTTTATTACGCGTGAAACTCATAAACTCGTAACGCTTCAATCTTGTTATATTCAATGACTTTCTACAATAAACGTTAAATGATGTTTCACATTTTTAATTTTACAAGTGAAAATAGACATAGCAAAGATTGCAAATGCTACACTCTGTGAATTATTTATTGAAGAAGGCTCTCTATATCAAAACTGACAGCGCTAAGACACTCTATGTAGCATTTATTAAATTATTTCTAATGAATAAAAAAATTTCTTTTCTCTATAATTCGAAATAGAGATTATATTTCACAAGGAAATTTGACCAGAGATCTCTATTTTTGGCACTTATATTTTTTATGTGTCGATTAGGCGCGGGTGAGGGATATATTCAAAGCCGTTAAGTGCGAGGCCGGCATTCCATCTCATCATTTTCCCGACGAAACGCCGGAGAAGCGTTTTCGAGAGACACTGCGGGTCATACAACGCGAGAGCACGACTCTTTGCTCCGGAACGAGTGGTGTATTTGCGTCCCTGAGTTGTTACGTACGACAGAGCCCGTCGTCGTAAGGTATGTCGGAACGATGTATATTCGGCGTCAGAATGGTCGGCACACCTTTCTGTTTATTCTCGGTTTTCCATATGAATATTGACCGTTTGGGAGAAACGGTGTCAAATCTTGTTGAGACCGTTTTCACTAGTCACTGCATTCGACACTACTGCGAGGCATTGCTCGAGTAATCCTTAATAGATTTATTTATCTCCATAAATGTCATGATTTTAAATCAGAAGCGATAATGATAATTATATAAATATGAAATGTATTAATGTATTACGAAGAACATTTTAATGTGATTATTATTATTGTATGCATTTGATTATTAAAAGATATTTTTTTTCTTCAGGACAAGATGGAGGACACGGAAGATATAAGGACGTCAGTAGAGTTGTACATTTACGATCTTACAAAGGGAATGGCTGCAATGATGTCGCCGATACTCATAGGTAAGCATTAAGTAATGATAGTGTCAACATTCATCTAAATGTTGGCCGGCATCTTTTTAATTCGATTTTTCTGAGAATATTTTATTAAATGAAATTAAATTGCATATTTTATAGTGTTTTATAAATTTTTTAGAAACTGTTAGTATTTGTTACACTTTATTGATTGAACCAAGTTCAAGATTGATGGAAAGTGGGACTTCTTTAAAAGTCAAATCATTGTAGCATTGAGCTATAAAATCGAACACGTCATAGCGCAAGCGTCGTGACCCGCAATAATTAAAGATATTTGTCGAAGAGCAATGCTGCGCGTCGGTGTTTTCATCGGACGCGATTTTGAGCTCTTTTACCTTGAGCTGGCGGAATGTTATTTAAAGATATAAGCGTAAAATATCTTTCTTTGTTGTACGCTGCGAAAATGGAGACCAGAGTTTTCTGCCTACAAACTAAACGCTATAATGTAAACAAAGAGGAAAGAACGCGAAAGATTTAATATATAATACAAAAAAATTAATATGTAACTTTATTTAACATATTAAGAAAACAGAACTCAGCATTTCTGAAGCTTAATTTTGTTATTCTTTAATTAAATTTTCTGAACATAATTCTGATTTATGACTTATAAGATTATTCTTGCTTTCACGTTCGTGTTATTAAAAAATTTTGCGATAGCGTGACTCCGTTTCAAAAAGCTGACGCGATCGATCGGTGGTTCTTGGCCTGACGCGTTCAATTTCACCAGTCATGTATGGCCATAACTCGCGGGTAGCGCGCGACTACGTCGTCGTACGCGACTATCGTCATTGCTGCTCCCGGAGGGAGAAATCGAATGTCGCTCGAACACGGCGTGCGATTCTTGCCAAATTGTACGACGATTTTGGATCAAAGACGATTTAAATATAAACAACCGCCAAGAATCGATGACACTTTGGTCGACAATGACTCAGAGCGGCAGATGTTGTTGTCGTATCATTGTCGTTTAGGCTGTTCTCACGACGGATCTGATTTACGCGGTTCACTGCCGAGTATTTGCCAATAAAATGTACACAGAAATGACAAAACTATGGTATGATCATTAGACGTGGATACAGAAGATTAAAAAAAATGTTTTATTGCTATCTTTTTTTATTATTTTATGTTAATTTTACCATGTTTTGCTTCTATAATATTCTACCTTTTGTATTATTATAGGATTGGATAGACTAACACAACTATTAAGAATTCATGACAATATTGAAGGCTTAAAACGGAATACGCACGAGGCGTCGTAGGCGAAGCGCGTGTAAATGGGCGCGGTATGCACAATAATAACCTGGAGTATCGTGCAACGGGACGCGGAAGTAGCCGGAAGAGATGCCAGACGCGGGTTGCTCCGTGATCCGAAATTCCATGCGAATGGCGTAAAGCACGACGTATACACACAGACCAGTTGCACCACGTGTCCGAGGTTTCTCTCAGCTTGCTCGCGGACGTTTATTTTAGAGTGCATTGAATGCGCCGTTTGTATGTGCGTGTAATCGGTATTCCGCATTTTGTTCCAATACTGAGAAAGAGCTTTGTTAGGTCTGAGCACATTGGCAATCGTTCTGGACCGAACAACAAATCAAATAAAACTTGTGTATGTTGGAATCGTTTTGTAAACTATTCTGAGAATTTGGGAAATTACACGGCTCTTCCTGGGATATAAGAAATCTTAGCCAATGTTTTTTAAGCAATTATGTCTTCATTGAGGCATTAGATCGGAAATTATATCATGTAAAACTTTATTTATTTACGATTAAAATCATTCGCACGAATGATGAATAAATATTATTGCATTTGCGATATCAAAAGCACCGAGACTCGCTTTCCGGCTCCGAATTCGTCGTAAACGTCCCGGCAACGCTGCGTCTCGCATCGCTCTGGAAGTAATTATAACGGCCAAGTTATTTCTTGCGAGGTCGTCACCACCGAACGAAGTCGCGGAGGCCCGAGCGCAATGAGAAAGCCACGAAGCGACATATGTGCGTACGCGGATGTACTTAGCTATTTCCGCAAAACTGGGTCGAAGATGGTGCGTACGAGTCCGCGAGCCCGGGCCCGCGAGTTTCGCGCTTTACGCTCCGATCTAGCGGGTTCTGAATTCACGCGACAAATATTATCGTCTTTGTCGGTCCTTGAACAAGAGTATGAGCTTGAATTTAAGCCTGTCTCGAGGTTGCTTCGTTGGATCACGCCAGAGATACAAATAGAATACATTCTCATAATCTCGAGTTCTTTCTGGTTTCAGAAATTTTAACTATTCAGCCTGCTACTACAGAATTTTGAAAAAATTTTTCAATTTTCTGTTTCTAGTATGTGAAGGAATAGAAAATCTTGTACATTGTGAAAGTTTAGTAAATTAACATTCTTTGCATCGACATATTTATTATTAATTATTATTATTTTTCTATTCTACTATTAGAATTGTCATTGATTTTATATTTGTCACTACACTATTTGGATTGTTAATTAATTAACAAAAAATTATATTGATATTCTTTAATCTCTACAGTCTAAAAGTGTTAGTTAACAAGTAAAAGTATTACAATTATATTAAGAAAAAGACATACCTGAAAATATATAGAAATATTCATTATCATTATTAGGGCATCATAATTTTATGAAACTACATTTTTTACGCTTTTATTACCAGCATTAATGCCGGATTTTTGTTTTTAGGTCGTCAGCTGGACGGAATATGGCACACGGCAATAGTCGCGTACGGAAGGGAATATTTCTTCGGCAGCGGCGGCATCCACAGCATCCGACCTGTAAGTTATCTTCCTCCACTGGTAATCGCCGCAGTCCGATCATCTCTGATCGGAGTGCGACAAATCGTTCGGTAGCGCTACCTGCGTTACGACGACGCGAAACACTAAACATATACCGCGGCTGTTTCGTTCAGTCACGCAGGTGGTCCTCATCGCGCCGTACTCGATACTTCGCCCGAGTGCTTTCTTTCCTCTTCGTGAGTATTTTCTTATCCTAGAAACATGGCGTTAAAAACATCAAATGCCGCCGTGATCCGCGGCCAGTAACAACAACGCGCTAGTAAGCATCATGTCTTATCATTGAGATATCGCACGGAGCAATCCTATTTATTGCATAAACACTAACTTCATTATCATTTTTATTGCTAAATTTTCAGTAATGAACAGCGAACGGTTCGTTGTCCTGTTTATATGTTGCTGCAAAACTTTAATAAGATTTTAATTAGTTGCAAGAGTTTTAATATTAACAATCTGAGTATCAGATGATACATGCAAAAAGATCTTTTGTTACATTTGTTCACAAGCAAAAGTAATTTGTATCAGAAAACTTGAAGATTCTAGAAAAGAGATGTCTTCTCCGATTTCCACCACTTTGTCTACTTCATGTAAGATCTGCCTGAATTTTTTCCCCGGATTTTTCTCTTCGAAGCAGTGACTCGGGTTCCGAGGGGGTTGACTCACGTGAGATGAACGCGCGTCAGTCGCCGATCATCGCGCGATAGCATCGCGGGGGACGAGTGCAATATAAATAACCGGGGAGTGCGCTATCAACAAGTGAGAGAATTAATGGCCTCGCTGCTTCCCGTCGCGCGGGCCTATCGGGCCGGGACGCTGGACGCATCCTCGAAGTCGTGACCGATCGGAAGGCCTAGTCGTAGCCGGCGGAGTCGCTCGCCGGGCCATACGATACGTTAGACACGGGCGGAAACTAAATTTGGTGCGGTTCAATCCAAAAATAATCCCCCGTTGCACGCATACTCTTGCTTTCTCTCTCCGTCTCTCGCAACTCTCACCCGTCCTACACCTCATGCGTCCAGACATAAGACGAAAGTTGCCGCTGAGGTAAGTCCGCGCTTGCACCCTGCATGCAACGAGATGTTCCCCAAACGCGTATGGTTGCTTCCTGATTACTCCAGCCGCAGCACTAACTGGGTCATCTTTCGCTAGCCTAAAGAGAGTGAAATTACTTTAAAATAGTTCTTCCGCCTCATTAAAACTCGGGTAAAATCTTTTTTATTATCTTCACAATTCGGAGAGCAGCCATTATTGAAAATTATTTCAAATTAAAATGATAGAGATAAATTATTCTCGAGCAATTTTGGTGGAAAGATGGATTTTATTTGAATTCACGAATTTGGAAATATTCACGTTTGATTGTGACGTTGTCTAGATTAATCTTTTTTGTGACAGATATTGAGAGTGCTCGCGTGAATAATAGGAATAAATTTGTAAGTTTTCTGGTACGAATTATTTGTTTTATATTAATTTGAATTACGCATGCAGAAATTTAGAGTGTTTACGCATCTTTTTCAGGTAATGCTTAATAGCTTGCTATTTCACGAAGTTGACCCGGAGTTATCCTGAAGTTATATCGGACTTGTTCCTCTGACCGACATGATTCTCCTCCATTTCCATGTTAAAGCTGCCGCCAAGTGTCGAGTGGTCGCGTAACTAATAATCGCGACACCGACGCGCATCTAAAAGCAACGCGATGAAATCATTACGGTTGCATTACTTTACGTCGAGCAACGTGCTTTAAATATGCGCGAGTGCGCGTGACTAATGCGTGCATAATTGTAATACGCGTCGTTTTACGACACCGTGTAACTGATATATATTTCCGTCCACCGAAACTCACTAAATTCAGTAGACACACAAATGTGTATAATATAAAATTTATAAGCGTAAAAGATATTTCTTCGAAATATTTATGATATCACATACGTTATATGTTTTATAATTCTACAATCGATAATTAATTGATCACGTAGTTCAAAGAGTGGCAATTAATTATTCGCAAATCAATTGTAAACAAATCTGTTAATTTACTGCCATCTAATTACACGAGAAACGTCACGTTTGTCATCAATATTCAAATAATCTGCGGATTAATTCTTTTTTTATGAGGCGCGATTATTTTTCTACAAGACAAGCATTCTTTTTTTAAACAACATTTTTGTCGCTGATGGTTTATGCCGGTTTGACGCGCGAGTGCAAATCACGAAGTGCGCGCGCCACCACGCGAGCTCCGATTATCCTTCATCGCTTCTCGTTCGCCGGCTTCGCCCTGGCGTCTCCGAGCATCCGCGACTGGCAGTCCGCGTGCGAGCCGTTTCCCGCTCTCGGGAGCGCTCTTGAAGGGAGGATAATCTCGCGACTAGTTCTTTTTTCTCCACTGTCACCTATTCTCGTCTCATCTCCAACATAATCCTGTGAGTGCTTCCGATATGTAAGCGCGGGCGCGTTTTTCCGTTTCTTCTTGCAATCCAAAGTGAATCGAGTGATCAGTCAGAATGACGCTAGGAGAACGCTAGGAGGATAAGCGAGTGCGATTTTGAATCGTGGCAAATCTTCGAAGAATAATATTAAAAAGCTGATTATTACGATTCGCGAAATATGTAATCTGTGAAATAATTGTGAAATGTAGTTCCGTGAATAATTCTGTTCATTGAATCATTCTTGATATTAATACATAATATATTCCTAAAGAATCAAGAATATTCGCAATATTGACTTCTATAATTTAAAAAAGCTAGCTAAAATATTTGGCAATTAAATATTAGTGTACTAATTACAAATTTTAGAGTACTAAAGTGTAAGATTTCTAGATCTATCTTTACTAAGGATCGCGCGTAGCAAAATTTCTTGCTTGTGCTATTTCTAATCATTCTATTTTATAATCTCGCATTCTTGTGTCTCTTATTTCTTAGGTTGTCGCGTTTTATTTTAATCGCGTCGTCACTATATTTCTTAATATTCAAAATTTACGCACTGCACTAATAACGCACGATTCAGTGTGTTATTTTGTGAGAAGATCCTTTTCTCAAAAGATCGTACTTTCAGACTGCATAATAAACGCTTTCTTCCCGCTTCTTCCCGTTCTCTCTTCACGGTTCACTTCCGCCGCGCGTCTTTCTTTTGCGTTCTAGAAGAGGTCGCGCTTCAACCGCGTGCGTCTATTTTCGGCGGTTTCTCGTGGCGAAGCGCGGATTTGTCGTAGTTCTAAAATTACATGACTACTAATGCCGGGGAGGTGAAGGGTGGTCTCTCTGGCGAACGAAACTCATCGCTGGATCCGCCGCGAAATTGACATTGACGATGCGGCGCGATTTTCCTGGACGCGACTTTAATGCAGCTGTCGGTATTTCGTGTTTCAGGGCGGTACGGAATTAGGAGAACCACAGAGAATCGAGAAGCTTGGCGAGACTTACCTGCCTTACACGGTCTTCCTCGAGTACATAAACGGTCTGGGAACTTCCACCTTCGCGTGAGTGTTCATTGATGGTTGATGCGCACACGTTAAGAGCTGCTGCATTTGACGATCGCTCGCTTTCTACGTTTTTATTTCGAAAGTGGCTGAAATTTGCAAAAAACAAGTCAATTAGTACATAATTTTTATTTCTATATCTTTTTGAAATTTTTTTACAATTTGTTAGATGTTCAATTCTTTTTCTTTTCTTAGGTGTTTATTCAATTTTATTGAGAATCGTTCGACTTTACGTGATAAATGATTCTGCGCTTTCAGACCGGGCACGTACAATCTCTTCAAGCACAACTGCAATTCCTTCACAGAGGAAGTAAGCAACTTCCTGGTGGGCAAGGGCATTCCCAAGTATATCCTTGATCTGCCGGAGGAAATACTACAAACGTATGTCTCAATAATTATTTAACATTACATTTGAATTATATTGCATTTATATTTTTTAAATTTGTTTCGAATACACATGTATTTTTAGACCTATCGGACAGGCCTTAGGCCCATTGATAGAAACATTAAGTAACAGCGCAAGTGCTGGGTTCACGGTCGGCCAGAGATTTGTTGAGCCGAGAATTCAGAGGGAAACTTCACCAGAATATCAGCTTCTAAACACAGCTATCGAAGAAGCGAGGTACGGTTCTGTATACGAAAACATTATTTTCGTTTTGTTGATAAATGATAAAGTATTCAAAATTGTTTTGTTGATGCTCGATGTTCCTCGAACATATACAATGTGTTGCAAGCCAGAATCAAAACATTTGGCACGGTAATGTTTAAAATATATTTAAGAGGAGAGTATTACGACATAATATGTACATATATTCCGTGCTTTGCGTTTAAAATTTGTTTTCGATAAACGAATTATACTATTCGTATCTTTTATCTTTGTTTTTTATCGATCCGAATTATTAATTATTGATTATTTTTTTATTTCAATTTCCGATCTGAAATACTCGGTTACCTTACGTTTACGAGTATTGTTTTCAATTAATTTTGATAAAATTTTCACAATTTGCAGACTAAATTCTATTGCACTAGAGGAAAGGAGGAACGTTATTAACGAGAAGCTAGCAAAGAAAGATCGAAAGAAGAAAAAGAAGAAGAAGGAGAAGAAGGAAAAAAGCAGCAGGGAGACCACTGGCAGCGATAGCAACAGTACCGGACCGAGCAATTGCTGCGCGGATATGGCGGAGAACGAGAGTGCGAGTGATTATTGTTTCCATATTATTATCTCAATGCAATTCTACAATTTTTTATTTCAAGCTATGTGATTTGCTTCTGCGATCAAATATTTTCTAAGAAACATTTAACAAATGATTTGAAGTAAAATTTCCATCAGTTACTTTTTCTCTATTTCTATTCATTCCAATTCTTTTGTTGCAAGTTTGTTTATCTGCTACTTCTTTTACACCCTCGTCTCTTTATTATTTCTGTTAATTAACATCTTTTTTTAGAAACCCTAAAAAACTTTAATAATAATGAACGCAATTTCTATCAGGTGCTGTCGGTGAGACGCAGCAGCAGGCGACCAATGGCGAAAACGCAGAGATGCTGCCGTCCGAGCGAGTGAGGCAAATGGAGGAAGACGAGAAGCGTGAACAAGAAGAAAAGAAACGTCATAGAGATCCACCGATAGTGTTCAAGGACTTGGTAAATGTGCGGACGGAGTATGAAGAATTGCTGAGTGCTCTTGAGGGAAAATTGAATGACGAGGAGCGAACGTGCATGGATGAATTGCGACAATATGTTCTGGAGAACGAAGGCTCATGGGCTCTGGGTGATAATTTCTTAAATTTTGTAGGTGAGTTATTGAAGTAATAACGCAAAACGCAGTCTGAAACGTCCTTAGTTCATACGATTAAATTTTAGACTAAATGACAAAATATTTAAATTATAGATATTGAAAATCTTATATTAAAAATAGATTTCTGATTTCCAACATTTATACTTACAATGTAAAAATGTATTTGATTGAATTAAATGGCTTCAGGTCGAGTACTCTATGATAAGTCACTGGACAGCAATACGCGAGTAAAACTGTTGAATGTACTGTCCGTTGCCGCATTGAAGGACGATGTAATTCTGCTGTTGCATCAAGACAGGCGAGAACATATCATTATGAATTACGCCTTTGACATCGATCGGCATCCGCAAGAGGAGCAACTTCCACTCGCACAGTTTGTAAGTAAAAATGTATTTGTTACACTAGAAATAAAAAATCTTAATTCCTTTTTATTATAATTTTTCAATTTTGTAAAATGATAATAATTGTGTACTTATGGGCTTGTGAGGCTTTTATTTTTTCGAGACTGTATCAGCGCTTTAATTTCAATTGTGTCGGACAGTTGGCGAATATGTTCGAGAATCTTAGCAGCTCGGAATGGCTGCTTTACATATCCGAGTGGCAGCATCAGAATCAGAGCATCAGCAACATAAGGGTGACGACCAAAGTTGCGGTGCACTCGCTACTCTCGAACTCGGATGATCTGCAGATCCGCGGCGCCGCCATTATCCACAACCTTGCCTGCAAGGAGGTAAAAACTGTGGTCTGTATCCTTCCTGTCCGATTAACATTCTCACATATCTCTCTCGCCGTCTCTCGCTTTCATTTTCATAACTCACCGCCATCACGCATCGAAGGCGCCTTCATCGTGCACTTAAATTCTATAGTTGAATTCCAAATTTAAATTACAAGCTGGAAGTCTTTACACTGCACGATAAATATTGCTGTATGATTTCCAGCATGCGCGAATATGTGTGGGATTTTCGTGTTGAAGATCCTACTTGTTTTATTCGCACAAAATAAAATTGGGAGCAGGAATGTAGCACAATCGAAGTCGTTTATCGATTCATCTCCTTCGATGCGCGGTTTCATGTATGACGCCGCTTTCGGAATGCGTGCTTGCCGATGTCGTAGGAGCACAAGCGACGCTCGCACTGTGCCTTGAAGTGCTGCCTTTATTAATAAACGAAAAATCAGCTCTGCGAGTCTCTGCCAATGCTAAACGCGACCATCAACGCGGACGTCTTGTCTGGTAACTTAATTTTACGAACGAGCAACGAAAGAGAAAAAGAGCGCATCGTGTTTTGTCATTGTCATTAATCAAAGAACGGCTCAAAGGATACATGATTCACTCGTTTGCATGCGCACTCACTGAAGCTCTTTAATCGAGGCAGCGAGTAGCGCTGCGTGTGACGGATATCTTTCCAGAAATCGGGTACTGTTTTTTCAGAAAATGAACAAAAGCAAAAATCTGCGGCGACTTTTACCGAAAGGCAGCATTTCTCAGGTACCTATCCAAATCCATGTTAGATCGAACCGTGCGGTGCGGTAAGTCGTCAACTATTATCGGTGTCCTGTGTGTTCTCGATTATGTGCGCATAATATTGTAAACGCGATACGCAATCGATTATTTAACGTGTAAATATTCGGCAATGTTTATGCTAATGATTATCGGAACTGCAGAGAATTTCTTTAATAACAATATTCGTAAACTTTTCGTATAGTAATAATAATCCTAAATACATCACGGTTTGATGAAGAATAAAGAAATTGAACATTGTGCGTTGCTGAAAAGATAAGAACGAATGCAATTAAATTAATTGCATAATTCCTAATCATCTGTCAACACAAATTAGATAGCAAACACTTCGATAATCGCTAGTTAATATCGTGTCGTAATAATATTTTCATCATTCAACAATGTTTCATATCGGTTCTTCAACTCATGCGAGCATCATGACATGCGGCATCGTTCTATATTCTAAATATCCTCATGTGAGATGTGAACCGTAGGTGTTTGACGACGTTGCCGTGGAGTTGACAATGGCATTGCTGCAGTATTTCAACGGCAGCCCCGCGGAAGAACAGCTGTTCGCGTGCATGAAGTCGCTGGCACGTTTCACGCAGATCAGCGGCCAGGAAGTGCCGCAACTCATACAGATGATCGGACCCGAGCCAAATAAATTCAGAGGTACTTCTCAGAGAATCGACGAGCAGATCGATCAAGTAAACAAGAAGCTGCGTTAATCTGATCGTCCGCGAGAATGTCGTGTTCCAAACACGTGATGAAATTGGACACGCTTCCGCTACGTTAAAATGGATTTTTAGAAATTCTATCCAGATACATCTATTGATACTATTATCGATATTAATTATTGTCATTTTAATAATATTATAATATATTATTATTATATTATTAGACGAAGCAGCGCAGCGCTGTATCTTTTCAATCTCCTTTTCACTTTTTTATTTAACGATGTATTTTTTCGCTTTGTAAAGAATTGAAGCTAGCGGCGCTTCGCTGTTGTGATGCAAAACAGATGGAAATGAAATACACATGGTGCGATAACTCGCCTGATATATTCAGTGCATGCGAGAGTATCTCCCGTGCGAGAGTGTCTTCCGATATTTTTTTTTTAATAATATAATTATAACGTTAAATTTGACACATCGAGATCTTCAAATTATTGAGTAATATAGAATAATTGTGTGTTGTCAGTTATACACATCACACTCCACTTCCAATTATATTCTCTATTCTTTGCGTGACGAAAAGTGTCGCACGAAGACGCAATAAAACTTATAATGAAAATAATTCTCTACACCGACCATTTTTCCCGTCGATTCCAGGAAACGCGCGTGGAAGTCTCAAGTGTCGACACGCGTTTGACATCATTTTGTGTTATATTGTGACGGAAGTAGAGCTATTAGGTGACCAAAAAAGTTCTTGTCACGTTCATTTAAGTAGAAATTTTAACAGATTAAAATTATTTATTTAACTTGAACTTTATAATTTGAAATGTACCCAGTCAACAAAATGTTAGCAGCCTGCTGGCAGTTTGCGAGCAGATTCGCTCAGAACTTGGCAGCAAATACGGTGCCATCTGTGTCCGCATTAAGCTCGTGTTCTGTCGGCAGAATCTGTCGACATAGATTGACAGCAGATTGGCGGCAGAAAGCGAGCAGGATCTGTGCAGTGTAATTTGGTGTCAGATTGTCGACAGAAATCGAGCGAATAGCGGCATTTAAATGCTTCATTACAATTTTACATTTCTCGTTTCGCTTATTAAAAATAGTAAATAAGGTATGCAAAGTATATAATATATATTTGCTTTATTGGGACAAAAAAATACTTATGTTTTAATAAATTTATTAGGCAAAATCCCGAAATCACTGCAATATCGGGTCAACTCGCAGCGCATTTTCAATTTCAAAAATCAGTTTAATATTCTGAATCTCTTATCGGGATTGTATCAGATTATTGTATTAAACTGATGAGCTTCATTAAGCCACTGGCCACACTTTATATGCACTGTATCTGATGTAACAGGTTTTGTATATAATCTGCAGTCTTTCTGCTGACAAAAATTTGTAGTAAACGTTTGGCAATATCTGTTCGAACAAATTGCTGACTAGATAGTAAATAAATGAAGTAAGGTATGTATTTTACGGTGAAAAAAATTGTCTGCACAACTAGTCTTGGCATAAACAATTCCGAGAATTGTGACTAACGAAAAACGGCAAGAACTTTTTTGGTTATCTAATAGAAGGTAGCAAACATATAATAAAAAAAAATGATAGCAAGTAGGTAGTTTTCTCGTCAGCTGTTATTAAATCCGTCAAGGTTCTTGGTGCTGCTTGCATGTTTCTTTATCAAATTGTCAACAGTGTACAATACGAAACAGGTGAATTGACTGCAGAATTAATGGGACTTCCTACGCATCTACATTTATACTGAGCTTTAAGCTAATAGACGGCGTAATAATGATAAGATTCGACAGTGGCTGATGCGAGAACGTGTGCCACGAGCGAGCAAAGTGTGACAAGCAAATCTCGTGATCGACGTTCAAAATCAATATTTGAAATCCGCTCGCGGACGGTAGAAGTAAAATAGTCGTTAGATTGTCGATTCGTACTTTGTTGAATACAATGTCTGCGCCTGCAAAAGTTGAAGAGTGCTCGCCGCCAATTTCGGCACGCAAGTCGCGCTTTACGGTGGCAAAATATGTGCCGGTGCTCGAGTGGCTACCGCGGTACACGCGACTGGAAGCTGTGTCGGACCTCATAGCGGGCATCACTTTAGGCCTGACCATGATTCCTCAGAGTATCGCCTACGCTGCATTGGCCGGTCTGACTGCGCAGGTATATCATGACTTTTACGTAATTTGCGAATTATTCGAACAGAGATAAGAACAGATAAGGTATTTATATTAATTATGCAAATAAGTATAGTTTCATTCTCGGAAACTAGCTTCTAAAAATTCTAAAGGATCACCTTTCTTTCGAATCCTGTCATTTTCTTAAATACTAAATTGCTCTACGACTTTGTTAGAACGCGATACTATGAACTTTGTAATTGTAAGGACAATTTCACGTGACAAACAATGTTTTCAGTATGGCCTATATTCCTGTTTTATGGGCGGTTTTCTGTACATTTTTTTTGGAACCATCAGAGAGGTATCAATCGGTCCATCATCCTTGATGGCTCTCGTGACTTTACAATACACACAAAACATGCCGGTGGATTTCGTAATCCTCTTATGTTTCTTGGCTGGATGCGTCGAGTTTTTAATGGGCCTACTAAATTTAGGTTCGTATTTGTGAAGTCACTTGATTAATCTAAATTTCAATAATCTTCACTTACGTTTTGTTATTGTGTTTTCTTTTGCCTTATTTGTGAAATTAATGGATATGTCGAAATAACATATCGATGACTCTGCTTGCAGGATTCATGATAGATTTTATATCCGCTCCGGTCACGTCAGGTTTTATATCGGCGACGTCGGTCATTATAATCATCGCTCAGCTGCAGGGCCTTCTAGGACTGAAATATAATTCAACTAACATCGTGGACAATCTGTACAAATTGTTTCTAAACGTAACCGAAATTCGGCCGACTGATGTCACCCTCGGAATTTGCAGCATGATCTTTCTTCTGATTTTCAGAGTGAGTTCCGCGAATTATAAGTTGATCGTTCATTGCGAAGTGTTGCATGGGCTCTATTTCTAGAAACTGAAAGACATTGACTGTCCTTGCGCGAAAGGTGAGAGAAATGCTTCAAGAAATTCGGCGATAAAGAAGATACTTTGGTACTTCTCCATCGGTCGAAACGCTCTCGTCGTACTCATGGCGGCCACGATGGCTTATCATCTCGAAGCGAGGGGGTCCACTCCATTTAGACTCTCAGGTATCGATGTTGATTATTATCGGTTTGCTGAATAACAAAATGATATTTTAATACTGGAACTGACTGATTTCATGGGGCGCAACGGACTCGTCTACATTTAATCTCTATATATAAATAATTAACATCAATAATATCAGTATATGTTACAGTAAATTATTAAAGATCGACTAATGCTAATTGCGTTATGTAACTCTCTATAAAGTATACCTTTATCTTGCAGGAAAGATAGAATCCGGTCTTCCCTCAATTTCGTTACCGCCATTCTCGGCTCAAGTGGGCAATCAAACTTATACATTCGTCAACATGCTGGCGCATTATGGATCAGGGATAGTGATACTTCCACTCATATCTGTTTTGGCAAATGTGGCGATAGCAAAAGCATTTGGTACCGATTGTCTTTCACTCTCGAGTCAGGCAGCTGATTGCCATCGATCGCGATCCTTGTCGCATAAGAGCTCCAGACTTTGTTATTCGATGCAACAAATGATCTTCTTGCAGCAACCGACGTCTCTGTTAATGCAACGCAGGAGATGTTGACGCTCGGCCTCTGCAACATATTGGGCAGCTTCGTGTCGTCGATGCCAACCGCCGGTGCGTTCACGCGAAGTGCAGTCAGCAGTGCCAGCGGCATACAGACACCAATGGCCGGTTTATATTCCGGTAAAACACAATCTAATAATAACAAAAAAATAACTAATTATTATATATGCAAAAAAACAAGGCAAATGTTGAAAAAAAAAACTGCTAAGAAATATTATATTTAATCTGAAAATCACAATTTATTATCACACGTGTCTATTAATAAAAGCCTCGTGTACAGTTTATTTAATTTACTATATTAATTCAAGTGATCTGATCTTGATGAATACACAGATAATTCTAACTTAATTAATTAATGATAAGTGTATAATATGTAGCACACGATGTGATAGCGCGCAGCTATGTGTGCATCGTAGCTTACCGCAAAAAAATATTTAATGAGCGTAATGAAATTATAACGTTTATGCTAACATGATAATGAAGTGTTTATATAATGATATAACAGGCATCTGGCATAAGCCTACGTGAAATGCAAGAAAAATATAAGGAATGATATATAGCATTTTGTATGCATTTTGCAGGCACCATGACATTGTTGGCGTTGAGCTTCTTAACGCCGTATTTTTATTACATTCCACGTGCAACACTAGCGGCGGTCCTCATATGCGCTGTAATGTTCATGATTGATCTGAAGATTATAAAATTGCTCTGGAAAGGATGTAGTCAGTATTACATTTTATATATTTTATGTACGAGATCCATTTGAAATGAAGCGCCTTGTTTTCTCTAATATACGTTTTCTTATAGAAAGAGATGCCATTGCAGCGATAGGAACCTTTTTGCTTTGCGTTTTCGTCAGCGTTGAGATCGGACTTCTTCTGGGTGTCGTGTTCTGTCTAATTTTCTTCATTCGACCGTCTGCAAGACCGACGATTCAAGTTGTCACCTGCAAGGTAAAACATTGTAAAAAGCTTGAAAAATGTTCCACACGACTTTAATTTTATTAATTTTAATTGTTAACAGATACTTTGATGAACTCAAAATCCGTTTTTTTCTTAGCAAAATTGTTGAGACACTAACAGTTTAATTTACGTTCGGAAAAGAAAAGTTTCTCGCGAGTGATAAAAGGATAAATAGATGAACTATGTATTCTTTGGTCAATTTTGATTAACTTTAATAGAATTTTAATTTGTAACTTAATGACAAAGATATAAAAAAAATTAATTCTAAATAAGGCAAAAAATCTGTAATTAAAATTAATTCGCAAATTTGGAGATATTCTATGCATTTTTATTAAGAATAACATTTATCTTTTCAGACACACTTAGGGAACAGATACATAATGTTGAAGCCTGACATAAATCTTTATTATCCTGCAGTAGCTTTCTTTTGCGATAAAATAATAAGTATAGCCAGAAACGAGCAAAATGATGTTCTATTGATCATGAATTGTGAACGATTTGTTAATCTCGATTACACTTCAATCAAGGTATTAAATATAATTTTGATGAATAATTTTTTTATCTGTCTATGAATGGTATTGCTTTATAAATACATGATTTTCATTACAGGGCATTGAAATGTTATCCAACAGATTAAATAGCGAAAGAAATCGATTTTGGTTATTAAATCTTAATTCCGACATCGTAGAAAGTATTGATGCTTTAGCCGACAATAAGTACATTCGTTTGATCGAAAATGAAGAAAGCATCGCAGATATTCTTCATGGTATGTGTATGCATGCGAAATACGTGTAATTGCTATAAAATACTTTATGCTAAAGTATATTTATTATACAATAATTATAATAAATAATATTTAGTATATCTAACACTTCCTTTTTCAGATAACGCATTATCGAATAAAGAATCTGAAGATCCAATCAATGTCACTATCAACACAACAACAGAAATAAAAAAATTAAATCATAAAGATTTGCAGCTGAATTTACAACTAAAGGATTCTGAACCCAATACCGAGGAAATGGCTTTAATGTCGCTATCTGAATCGAAAATACAACAATAACTACAAAAACGATTCTAGTTAATTCAATTTAGTTTATAATTGTAAATATGTGAAAATATAAGTGACTTATTAGTACCTGTACAACGAAGTCTATTTAGAATAATTTTTACGTCTGCTAAAATTTAAACATAATCTCACAAATTTTAGAATAAGTACTCAGCAAAAATAGTTTTCAAATTTTTTAATTTGTTTAAAAGATTTTTCTAAGTATTTTTATGTGTTTATTACACTTACACTAAAAACAATGTTTAAAAAATATATATAGTATAAAAAATATAAATATGAATTGTATTCAACTAATGTAATTGTTATTTAATAAAACAATTAACACAAATTTTAAATTATTTATAGACTGTAAACCTCCGATTGTACTGACAAACAGAAATATGTAGTATGTCTGTTCTTTTCTAGTGTCCAAAGCGCGGAGCTCACATGTACGTAGCTTGCGCATGTATGCGGTTACCCCTCCATTCCTGCTACTGCTGTTTGCGTCGTTCACCATCGTTCACATCTCAAATCTAACCACGTTGCCTGCATGCTTTAGTTTAGGTTAGAAAATCTACAATAAGCTAAAGAAAAAGAAGTTACATGCTTATTTCATCTTAGGAATGTTTTTGTTAATATAATTGTTCTCAAGATGAGTATAATTACTGAATCTGAAAAGAAACGCTTACAAGCCTTGAAAGAAAAAAAACGGGTGTTTAAAGCAAGGGAGGAAATTATCCGACAAGCCTTAAGTAACTTGGTAATTTAGCCTATTCACTATACTTATTGTGTTTATGGTAATTATTTTATATTTTTTTATTTATATGATATTTATAGGATACTACGAAAAATAAGAAAATTATATTTGATGATGACACTGATGTACAACAAAGCACAAAGTTAAAAAAGAGGAAGAATAAAGATTTGTTTGACAGTGATGATGATAATGACAATAAAAATGAAAAAGATCATTTATGGAATGAAGAAGAATTTAACACTAAGAAAAGTAAAAAGGTTAGTATTTCATAAATTGCAATGTTTTATTATTGTTAAATTAAAGATACTAATATTAATTTATTACTATAGGCTATTCTTGGGAATGATGCACGATTTACTTTAGATGATCGCTTTACTGAAAACGATCATCAAAGTGAGAAAACTGAACTTGTAGAAGATATCGATCAAAGTAATTTGCAGAAAGAGAAAGAAAAGCAGTTAGATATTTTAGAAAGTATTTTAGGAGCACCTCTAAGAACAAAACACCAGGAAACAAAACAGGATACTGAAACAACTAAGTAAGAAATTCAGATAAGCAAAACTTGTGACAACAGGAATTAATTATAATTATGTATCATTAAATATTCAAACTGATAATGTTCACAGAAAAGAATTGATGATACGATATGATCCAACTGAAAATGGACATTACGAATATGAAGTAAAACCTACACATCAAGAAGAAGAAATTAAAGAGAAAAAAAGCAAGAAGAAGAAACGAGATAAATCTGTGGCAGAAATTGAGGAGCCTGCATCTGTAGAGGTATCAAAAGATATTTATTATATTGTGTCCGATACCTTGGCAGAAAGTCTAAAGCAGAAAGAAGAGTTTAGTTTGTTAAAAGTGCATGGGAAAGAAAAGGATGATACAGGTATTTATTAAAAAGATAATATAAATATATAAATGTTTCATTATACTGTTAACACTGTAATTATCTTTTTCAATATTTATATATACACACACACACATTTATATCTTATTTTCAGAAAATAGCAAGGATTATGACGCATCTATTTCAAAAAATAATAAAGTACAAAAATTTAAGTTTAATTTTACTGCAAATGATGCATTTAAGTGTAATATATCTGATAATGAAGATGTAGATAATGTACCAGATGCAGATGAACAAATGATCGATGAGGCTAAAAATAATACTAATACAAATAACATTTTTGGATATAGAGATACTTTGTTTTTTGATGACAGAGATGTACGGTTTAATGGTATGTATCTAAAATCATAAAATTAGATTGCCATTTATTCTACAAATAAGATAAATATGTTGTATTTTCAGAGGCTGTAAAATTTTTCAATACAGAAGCTACTTTGAGTGATGAATTCAAGAACTTGAGGCGCAAGTTGAAAATGATTGTACGTACAAAAGTTCGAAAAAATGAAAAGAGAAATCAGCCGTGGGATAAGAAGAGAAAAGTAAAAAGAATAGTAAAGTCTCGTAATAAATATTTTTAGTGCTAAATATAATTCTAGTGATAAGTATTGCTCTATTTTTCAATTTTATGTTTTGTAAAACATAAGGACTGTAGAAAAATAAAATAATTAATACAAGATTGTTTAATATTATTATAAATAGATATGACTATAATGTATATGACTATAATGTAGAATGTAAAGTAAAAATTTTTATAGATTTTATACGAGTAATTTTTAAGATTTATCAAATATATAATCATGCATGACTTTTTTTTTAAACTGTCATGATATAATATATCACATTTTGTTGATTTATTTTGAGATAAATATTTTTTTTAAGTTTTTACAAAATAAACTTTTCATAGATTAGAAGAAAATCATTAAGAGATACAATAATGTCAAACGTTTTAAGCATTTTTTTATTGATGTTTTAATCTAAATGGAATATTCTCTTATATATAACAGTTTTATAAATCCTCTGATATTTTTCACTTTAAAATAATATTTAAAGAGATTCAAAATATATATGTATTTATGTATGTATAAAGTAGAAAAAGATGTCCTTGACATTTACAGAACATATCTCATTCCTTAATTTTGAATCGATGTACAAATACTCTCATGACGATCTGCGATAAATCTTTTCCAATAACTTGAGAAAGAGGCTGTGTGGAAGCCCGCGTGATATTTGCTGTATATGGGTGTTAAGTAAATTATATGTCTCTTCTTCGTATATGGAATAAGTGTTTGGCAAACCCAAATCATTGTAAAGTTGCATCACACGTCTCACTTTTTCCTTATCTGAGGAACCATAACATTCCTATATAATGAAAACAAAAGGAAAGAACTGATTAATGCAACAGTATTTTTATGCGACAATCTATTTGATAAATAATACTCACATCTAAAATTTTGCGCTGCTCTGGTGTGACACGTTGAAGAGCCACGACAACCAGCCACGTACATTTTCCCTCTTCTATATCGGTACTATCCTTACCAATTACTTCAGAATTCCCGTAACAACCTAAATAATCGTCTTGGACTTGGAAAAAGTGTCCCATTTCTAACAGAATCGTTCTGGTTTGCCTAAACATCTCCGGGTCCTTTATCCTAGCCTAAATCAAAGGATGTGAATAAAGTTAAAGCTCAACAGAGTCTCTCTTCGTTTCTGTATAAAGAAATTTAAATACACTTACCAAATGCATTGCCGCGGTTACTGGCAAGATGAACGAGTAGTATGCCGTTTTGTATTTAACAATAGAATTATATCGATCCATCGTAAATAGATCCAGATTCAGCTTTTTGCCGAAATTGGTGGAAAGTAAATCTAAAGCCTGGCCCATTATAGTCTTCAATCCCATCTGTTAAAGCATTTTGATAAAAAAACTGTCTGATAAACTATTCGCATTAATGTATAATCGAAAGAGTGATATTGTTACTTACATCCTGAAATGTTTCTAGCAGATCAATATAACACTCTCTCCCTTTGAAGTGTTTTTGAAGTAAATAATACATCGATTTCTCTATTAACACGGCATCGTTGATTGCTGCCAAACCTAAATCATTGTGCAAATACCAACACGGTTGGTTTCGGCGAAGTAACGATCGGTCTTGAATATCGTCGAGCACGAGGAAAAAAGATTGTAGCTGTGCATAACAATATTACGATACATAAATATAAATTTTTCACTCATTCGAATTAGTTTACATGAGATATTAGTGCCATAAAGTGTTACAAAGTTACGCACCAGTTCCACACACCATCCTAAGATTCGTGCTAGACGAATGTTTTCTTCTGTGAGTTGATCGCTAGGTGCCAACATTTTATAGGCGTACACTAATGATAAACCGCGAGTTTTTTTTCCTCCTGGAACATTGTACTGTAATACCTATAAAATAAAAATAAGTATATTAATCTGCATATTCATTCGGATTTATCGCCTCGCATTTCGTCTCATTAGAATTTTCTCAAGTTTTAACAAAATAGCGGTTTTCTACAACTTTCTACTGGCAACTTTATTAATTTATATGCTTCTATTTATAGATGTCCTTGAATTTCCATGATTTACTTTTTACAAATTTACACGCCATCGTTATAAAAGTTAAAAATAAAATTTTTTATTGTAATTACATTACACTGTACATTCTATTATTTTGCAATCTCTTTGATTAGCTTGAAGAGATTTGTCCAAGAATAAATCGATCTATTTTTTTATCATTCCATCTCTGATGTCTCGTCTGACTGTATTTTAATAATTTCAATAATGACTTACTTTTGTCAGCCATTTAGCAAGATTTGAAATGTCCGAATTCCTGGCTGGTTCCGTAAGATCTCGAACAATGTCTGGCCACACAGCCATCATCTCACGACTTTCATCCTTGCTTGTTACCCATGCAGGCGGTGTCACGGAATGAGCCATTCTCACGTTACAATTCGATATCCTAAAAAATTGAGGAAAGTCAATTATTAGGAATTACCGAGTTCGATTGAGGTCTCTTACTTGGAAGAAGAAAAATGCAAAACTGAAGACTTTTCATTTCTATAGATATATATATATCCTTGTATTGGAATAATACATATCTATAGAAAATGATAATACAATATTAATATTAATACCTTAATATATTACAATACATTAGTCACAAAAAGCCTGCACATAGATTAGATAGTACAATAGTATACAATAACGATCGCGTTTCAAACAGATCAAACTTTAAAGTGACTTTAACGTAATTTATATTAAAGAATTTCATATAACGAATACACACATCTTGAATAAATTGTTTAAAGCTTAATTAATTATTTAAATAAACACATCAGTTTTCTTCAAAGTTTCTAAGAGAAATCAAATTTTTGTTAGAAATCTATGTGAAAAAATTTGATAGAAAACTTTTTTCCCGATAAATAATTTAGTGAAAAATACATAATTAAATAATCCTGTAAATATACAAAGTAAAACGTGTAACAACGCTTTGTACGATTAAGGAAGAATCAAGTATAATATTTACTAGACTATTATCATGTAAATATCAAAGTAAAAAATATTTTTAGCTGAACTTTGTATTGTAAACTATCATTTCGTATGCAATATTTTATCGTTTAATCAGTGCAAGCAGATCAAAAGAAGTATTCAAAAATTGGAATAATCCATATCTAATTTGTGAATTGTGTTACCGTATATAATTTAAATACACTAGCAAAATTTGTAACATTTTGTTTTCTTAATTAAATATCAGTTAAATTAGTACTACAAACAATTGTGACTGTAATAAGCTATTCATAAATTTGAATAAAATATAATACTTAACATTTATATTTATTATACTAAACATATATATGCATTTTATAAAATAATAATAATGCCTTTGTTGTTTTAAAAAAATAATAATAATACCTTTGTATATTTTTCTAAAAACATGTTTTTCGGTTCTTCTTAAATTGATTTAAAGTTTCTTTTTTCTGAATTATGACACTAACTAATTGTCTTGCGGTGGTCTTAACCGATATATAATTTTATCCTTCATTATTTTTTCTGATCTGTTAGCTATGAAAACAAACTTGAAAGGATGAAAAAACGTATATAAATGACTTTAGTTGCGTAAAACTATCAGATGCGGAAGGTCTTCACCTTGTATCAGGTGATAACCATATCATTACTCACACATTCGCATGCATTATCGTGTTCATTTGCATCGACAATCAATCCTTTTATGTTCTCCCGTAACTACAACGCGATTAGTGAATAATAGGTATATATGGGTATATATATATATATATATATATGGTATATAATAATAATATTATAAACTTAATAAATATTTATATAGTTGTTGAAAGCAACAATAATTGTTCTTTAAAAATTTTACAAAATTTTATGCATCATCTTGATAATTATATTGAACTAAAATTCTAAGTAAATAACATTTATATTTCGATTTATATGTTATTTGTGTATTTATTATGTCATTATGTATCATATCTTGTCATTCGATTGTCTTCTAAAAGGTTAAATAGCGAATCTCGAAGAATATTTCACGTTTTCTATATCTTAGATACAGGTGATACAAAAAATAGTTTCTTAAAATCGTTTGATATAATTGAGCTAAATTTTCAAAATTTTACATATCTTTATCTAGCTTTTCTATTATTCTTATTAGTCAACTAAAATACATATCGATCACTTTACATATCTTGGAAAGTCCAAACTTGAGTGATAATCAATTTCCGTATCTAAAATTTCAAATTATAGCATCAGATTTTTTGTTGTTTGCTCGATATATAATAAAATATTAATAAAAATAAATAACACAAAATAGTTGTTGTAAAAATATAATTGTTACTTATCGTCAAAGTATTCTATCTGATAATACAGTATAGATATAAATACACGGTGTAGATTATGTATATTACGAAACGCACGCAGAGCGTGTCCAGAAGCGTAAACAACCTTATCATCAATCTAACAAGATGCGTTCCAACGTGTGGAGCCTCGGATTCGCATCGCGATTTTTGCGAATTTCAAGCAAGGAATATCACAAAATAAAAGTCACGTATATATGCAATTTTACAACACATGACGTCGTTCTCATTGAGCGATATGAATCGATAATGAAAGAAAAAGCTCGCGTTTCAATTCGGTTGCGTTAATAATTGATTAATTTTGATAGAGTTATCATATGTCAATTTGTGTCCTAATTAAATTAAGATTGAAAATTTGGAAGTATTTTGTGTCTCAGTATACACGATGATATCTGGTAAAACTTCCATGGAATGAGAATCTAATAAAAATCTAACGGAACTTGAAAAGAAAACCCGTTTTATTGATTAACCTCGACACCGCGTTTGAAAATCTTCTTATTTATTCTCATCTAACCGCCATTATATTACCGTTCGACAAAATACGCATCATGAAAAATCAACAAGAAATTATCGTGCAGGTGTTCGATAAACGTTTCCATCAGCGTTATAATATGTTCCTGATATCTTCACAATGGAAAAAAATAAAGAACGATCAGTTTTCGTGTTGATCACATCATATGTTACAGTCTTAGTGTTTTGTGATATTTTTATTATCGCATTATATATTTAATCATTTTGTATAACTATATATTAAAAAAGTGTCAATTATAAAACTTTTTTCAGGTTTTGTTTCTTAATTTTCGCTGATAAGACTATAAAAAATCACATTCTTTACTTTTTTAAATAAAATAAAAAAAAATATGTATAAAAAATTAATTAGAATTAATTAGAATGCAATATTTGAGATGCAATATTAGAATGCATTATTAAAAAATCGTTCTACGTTTTAACTAAGTTTGTAATATTTCGAATTAAAAAATATTCTTTGATTTAAATTATAGTTTGACATAAAGAAAGCTTAATTTTTAATTTACTGTCTTATCTTATATCTGTTAATTCCTTTTTTAAACTTACACTTACGCATTTCTAAACAGATGCTATTTTTAGCCTCTATGTGTTTTCTCTATGGATACAGTACTACCGTTTCACTTTTCTACCTTCCTCATTTTTTTTAGAGTATTTTATGTTTACTCTGCTAACAAGATCAATTTTTAATAAAATAAATTAAATTTTATTACAAAAATTCCACAATTCTTTTGCCACAGCAAAAAGTGCTTAATCATCAAATAGATTTACACATTTTTACACACCTCCAACACATCAGATTTCTATCATACATAGTGGAGCACGCGCGCTGTACACCCGTCCATCCGACGTGCGCGTGGTCACCGGTGGTGAGGCGCCGTGCAACACCGAACACCGACAAGAATCTGTTTCGCGCGACGGACGACATGGTCAGATATACGTGGAACACACTCGTATATTCCTTAACGCGACCGGAAAAATGAGATTCAACAAAAAAAAAAAAACGAGAAATCCACTCGAAAGATTCACATCGGTGAGATACTGCACGTCCCAGACGAACACTTGAAACTCCGAACACTCACGATAGACTGTTTTTATGACGGCGAGTACCGTGTAATGTGTAAAAACAAATCAAAGAATAATAATAATCAGTGGAATCAACAACGTATGAATAATTAATAGCGACTATTATGGACCTTCGACTTCCACCGGTATTGCACGAATGCGTCACACCGCTCGTAAGCGGAAATCGAGCTGGCGCCTTTTAACTGCGTACGCAAACGCCGGTAGCGGTATATGCATCGCTCATCATGGACCAACGAATTATAAGGATGGAATTCTAAGCGGGAGAAATCAGCTGATTAGATATAAGAGGGGACGAGCACTTCAGGCTTCAGCCTAGTCCGATCGCTCAGATCGCAGACTTCGGATGCGTTCGTAATACTCACGTAATGAATCACAGCGATTCTCAACCAGTTGAGAATGTCGCTAAGATCACATTAAAAAGATTCAAATTAAAGATTAACATTTAAGGTTCTGCAATGCTCGGTGATATTCAACGAAATATGTAACTTTGTTTTTTTAAATAAAAATAATCGAAAAATTGCGCAGATAAATAATATTTAGATTGAATGTTTTCTTTAAACATACAATATAGTTGAACACTTGCTTGTCATATTATATTTTTAATTTTTTAATTATTAATTATTAATTTAATATCTTACCACTTATTAAATTCATCATTTTATATACTATATTTTTTGCTTCACTACATCTCACATCTTTCCTTTGGATTTATCTATTGATGGAACGGTTTCTTATTAGATGGTGCTGGCAATCTATACTTTGCTAATTCTGCTTCAGCTTCCCCGAATGAATCCACATGGTAGCAGAAATATTCGGGATTCTTGTATTCCTTATCTTTGGAGGCATTAGGTCCTACAGCTAGATAAATTAAAATTCAAATTAAAATTCTAATATTGTAACAAATATTTGATAAAGTAATGTTTTTGCCTTACGTGCGTTTGGTATATCGACAACATTTTTGCTGAGACCTGGTACATTGGTACTCACAGTAGATTGACTAGTGCTCTCGCCCGAAATCTGTGCACTAAATGTCCGTAAAGGAATGATTGTTATTCTCTGGAAGCAATAAAAATTGTATTTTAAAGCATTCACAAGCAAAGAGGTTACAAGTTTATAAATAAACTCAAGAGTTTTAAGAATGACAAAGGATAATTTCTAATATATACCTGTAATGACACTTGTCTCGCTAATACGTGCAACATTCTATGACAATTGTAAACAACAGGCCAACAGTTAGAAAATATTCTTGAAGTCTAAACGTCTTCAGTCCTCTTGACAATGAATTGTCCTTCTCCGATCATACACACGAATGAATGAAGTTTCACAGTTGGTAGAAGTGCAAAAAATAGGAGAAATTTTGATGCTACGGTATTCCATTGGTGGACTTTCTTGAGAAGGAACTCTGCAATTGGTCAGCATTACATAATATAAATTGTGTTCTATCTGCAGTAGTGAGTGCACAATCTACATTGCATATGAAGTATCTGCTGATTACAAGGTGACATAACCTGATCAACGCACCATTGCCTGTTTATGGTGAATTAAGTCAGCGAAATCTGACTAAAAACTAACGTATGTATATATCAAAGTTATGTCACATTTTGGTCTAGACTGCTATTTCAATATTTAGTGTTTTTTAACTTTTGCATAGAGCTTTTGTGAAGAAAAGTTAACCAGTAATACATAGTAGATATATATAGTTCATATAAAACCAATGATTGTTACTTAATGCTGAAATGATAATTATTATAAACTAATAATTATTGTCAAATGTAGTGTGATGGTTAATTATTGTATAATACTAAAAAGAGATACATAAAATTGATAAATAATAGCTAGCATAAAAAATAACTAAATATTTCACTATTGATATTTGTGAGCATATATATATAATTCCACTACATAAGTGTTAGTCAACATTAAAATTAATATTGCTACTCAAAAATTCTAGAAATATATAAAAATTTCTTATGTGCATAAATACATAAATAATTATAAGAAACTTATCTTTCATAATTGTTATATATTTTTCATATTCATTAATGGTAATTACTCTATTTTCAGTCTCAACCATGCTTTTAACTTACTTAGCAAACAACTGGAAATATAGCGATGCGCCTGAAGGCCAGCGTCCATTTGAAAAGGTGATCGGGCTGTCCAAGTATGGATTTGGCACCAGCGTAGGCATAGGCATATATGACTGCATACTGTTATCACAAACACAAACTTTTTGGGGAGCAGCAAATTGCATGTCTTATTGGGTGATACCAATTACTGCTATGTGTGCCACTTTTGCCTCTGTGGCATATACAGCAACAAAGATTAGAGGAAAGGATGGTTATGCCAATTATGTGCTCGCCTGTATGTAATACATAAATAATTAGATATTTTAATTTTGTTATAAACAGTTATGAAACGTTTTATTCTCCTATTGCAGCAATAGCTACTGGTGGAGTGTTTCATCATTGGCAGAAAAAAGGATTGATCACTTATTATTTTACTATTATGTTGATGGCATGCGCAGCAGGCAAGAAATTTGCCGATTTGAATGGTCTTAAAGTTATAACATTGGATTTTAAAGCTACACCACAATATACTACCTTCCCTATTGATATGACTCTCACCAAGGATCCTAGGGGACCCAGGCCATGGGAGTAATGATCTTTTGTATGTATATAACGAAAATAATTAGTGTTGTTATTTAATATAATTAAGTGGGAATATGCTGTACTATGTGCAAGTGATGATGGGAAGAGGGACGAGAAGCGTATCTTCCACTGTCAACATGTATTTATTCTGATTCTAGTACAGGAAATAAAAAAAATTTGTAAAAAGACATTGCATTAACATTACACATGGAAGAATTATGTCAGCGTTTCACCCTTTGTGACCTGTCAAAACAAATGCCATTATGCAATAAATGATAAATAAAAGATATATTTGGTATATTATCAACCATAAAAAATGTCATCTAATATGTATATTTTTACAGTTTAGAGAATACAAAGAATTACTTACACATGCCTCAAGATATTCGATTCTCCGTTCAAGGGTTGTGAGTTTCTCATTAAGGACTGCTATTCTCGATCTGCAAGACATATCTGAAAAAGATATGGAAAAATTAGAAATGTATACATAAGCTAAATAACACTCTGGTGCAAGTGAATAAGAGATTTTAATACAATTTGACACATTACCAAAAGAATTAAGGAAGTCCGTAATCTTTTTTATGCTACCAGTGATAACTTCTATGTATTCTCGGTTAGCCCAGTCCTGTTGAATCTGTTTTTGTATCGCTTCTCGATGTATTGCTGCCATTTTGACACGTTGTTAATGTGATACGTTTTTCTAAACTTTCTTTAGTAAATCGCGTGTGCAAATTACTTTCGCAGTATTATCGCATTGTTTGGAAGATGTCAAATTCTGGGTTGACAGAAGTAATCAACTAACTCCAAACACCAAATTTAGAAATCTGAAGTGTTGCAAACTGCCAGCAAATGCAAGAATTTTCGAGAGGTTCCGAACTCAAGGCAACCAACTTTGGAAAAATAAATTCTCCATATTGCATATGCGGTTATTATACTTATATGTAAAATAATCAATGTATTGTGTATAAATTTTTCGCCATTAAAAATACTAAATTTATTTCTGAAAAAAGTATATTTTTTTTTTTTGTACCTTTGAGTATTTTGTTCAAATAAAGTTTTGAAAATTTGCCTTAATGACGTGGAGAGAGTGTCTTTCAGAACGCGCATCTTGTAATTCAAGTTTTTATTTATCCATGTTCATTATTGATTCGATCATCTGATTCTCGGGCACACGACGAGCTCTTCGTGTTTGCTGATCCTCTAGAAACGTAAATAGTGCATGATAGCCGCGGACGCACGTGGCATAGTCTTTTAGATTGTTGGTGCTTATTGACCTGTTGACTGCGAAACGTAGCTGTCATTCTAAGATGTGGATACTTCCGATTAAAACATCGATGTCACGCCAGGTTAGAAGATCCCTCTCTTTTTCCTACTTTCATTGACTCCGTTTGTTTTAGCCACGTTTTCGGCATTTAAAACGATTTAAATACTGAGGTGATATCCAAAATATTTAAATATGATATACGAGGTAAATTTGGAGCGAAAAATAAGTTGGATCTGTAAGTCCGGCTTGTCAAAGTGATTGGATCTCAATTAGCATCCCGTTTGCATTGTAATGTTTACTTCATTCCAAATATTGATAGTGTGTCTAAGATTTTAATATTACAGTTCCTTTTATTTTAACAGTGGGGACACACAATGTTTACATCCAATGAGATGAAGTTTGAGATAACTTTTGCAGCATTATTGCATTTAAATACGTGAATGATTGGATTTCTTTGTTTATATAATATCACTTTTTTTTATATAACTTTTTTTTATATAACTTTTTTTATTTGCAGTACTTACAAGTTATTATTATGTGACTGTGGGAAAGAGAGACCTCATTTATGTATAGTATAAAATCATGAGATAAGTTCACAATCATAATAAAATTGTAATGTATCTACGTGACATTGCAAAATACTGTTTAATTAATACTTACGTATGTTGTAAAAGTATGTCTAATTAATTCAACGCGCCAACAACACGCCATCTAGTAGCATTATTCAATAAAAAATTCGACCCTGGACGAACTTTCGGACTGGACACTGTAATTTCTGTATGTATGTATACGCCGTTTTATCGGTGGATATATTTATCATTTATCTAATCTCGTGGCGGAGGAGTTTATCGTTTTTAATTATGATTCGATGGGCGATTTTTGCGATGGCCGACTGCCTCCAACAACATTGTTGATATGTAATCTCTACATAGAACGTAGATCCGCCATTTTTGTAGATACATTGCATATACTGGGTGTCTCATAACTCTCTATCTTAATTTTTGTGATACTATTTGGGCTGCATTAAAATATATTTCTGGATATACTAACTTCTGGTGCTTGTAAACTATCTTAACTTCCATATCTCATAAAATACTGATATTTTAATGCATTTTTTATTAAAAAATTTTTATAAATATTTTTATATATGCAAAATAGTAGGGAAAAATTAATGTATTTATAAAAAAAGATCTTATTTCTTTCTTTACAAATAAATGGAGTTTACTTTTATTAAAATCGTTGAATTAACTAATTAACTTAATGAGATATTAAAACATTTTTTTTGATATAGGATTTTCTGAAAGTAAAAGGATTTTCTTTATGTATATCATCTCATTATAAAATCGCTTAAATAATATACCATATTAGCCAGTGAAAAATATTTTCATCTATGTATTTCCATTAACACAAAAAATCTAACATGTGGTAGATAGTCTTTCTTATACGCTTATTTATGACTTGTTTGCAAGATGCTTTTTTAGAGTGCGTCATATCGATTAATTTCCACACATTCATTAAATTAACGGATACGTATCGAATAATTTGCATCTAATCGATAAACGGTCAACAAAAATTACATTGCACACTATTAGTGCATACATATTAAAATGCATTGCCATTATATTAGGCAATAATATATTGAAATAATTGTTTAATAATTATTCGAAGAGTATAAAATAAACTAGACTGATCTTTATAACTTGATCTTTGATTTTTAATTTTTAAACAGAAAATTGCACGTTTAACATTTAATTTACGTAATTTTTTATAAATAAATCTAAAATTTTGTTTGAACAATTTCTGAAATTATTTAGAATTGGCTTGATATTTCTTTTCGCAGATTTTCTATCGAGAGAAATGTTGTTGTACGCACAACAATAATAAAATTGTTTATTTAATAACTTTTCAATTTAATTATTATTTAATAATTATTTGGCGGTATAACGTATGCGTAGGATCGACTTTGCGGCGCGCATTTTCCATGCCAGGCGTGTTATGATTTCGGGAAGATGCAATCTTTTGTCAACAGTTCGCTACGTATCCGAACTATCTAAAAAACGGTATCGTGCGGATTTTCATCTGGCCGAAAGTGTCTTTCCTATCGTGGGACGACACGTTAACAGGTAATCACACACGCGAGGAATTATATACATATATATACTCTCTCTATCATTTATTATTTTACATATATATGTTAGAATATACATATATATATTATATATTTTTGTTTCAAGATAGAATCCTGACAGATAGAATTTGATAGAAATCCTCTTAAAGGATTAAAGAGGATAGATATGTATCCGTTTTAACATTACTAATTTTTTTTTTATTTAATTCTCTGAAAGTTTAAAATTTTTAATATTGATCCGAAAAATATGAAATTCAGATTTATCAAAAAATAATCTTACTGCTTAAAGTTTATTATTAATAAATGCGTTTGGGACAGGTTGAATCGCGACTCACCGCTTTTCATTTCACCGTCCGTCAGAATGTCATCAATATTCAAAGGTAGCACCAAGAATACTGATCATTCTGGTGCGAAGAAGCTAAACTCTTTGAGTTTGGAAAAGTCACCGTACCTGTTGCAACATGCGACGAATCCCGTGGAATGGTATCCCTGGAGCGACGAGGCTCTGGAGAAGGCAAAGAAGGAGAACAAGATGATTTTTTTATCAGTCGGCTACTCCACGTGTCACTGGTGCCACGTGATGGAGAAGGAATCGTTCGAGAACGAAGAGATCGCACAGATTATGAATGAGCACTTCATTAATATCAAAGTGGACAGGGAAGAGAGGCCCGACATCGACAGGATATATATGACGTTCGTCCAGGTACGTGTCATCGAATGTTTTGTTGATTGTTACATTATTTTCACGTAAAATCTGAAAACAGATAAAATACACATTTTATTTACAATGCTTATTATCTAATATTTAATAAATATTCAAGCATAATTAAGTTTACAAAATATAGTGCATATAATTATACATAATTTATTAAATATAAAGATAATTATCTCTATTTTATATTTAATAGGCAAGGACGGGTCATGGTGGTTGGCCGATGAGCGTTTTTCTGTCGCCGAATTTGACGCCGGTAACAGGAGGAACGTACTTCCCGCCAGATGACAAACACGGCCTTCCAGGGTTTAAAACGCTCTTGTTGGCAGTTGCAAAGAAGGTTTATACAATAAGCACAATATTCAGCGATATAAATATGTTACCAAACATGTCTTTAATTTATCACGTCTTATTATGCGAATTGAATTTATCTTTTTCATTTTCTAGTGGACAGAGCAGAAGAGTGACATAATCAAAACCGCCGCTAACATAGTGGATCATCTGAAGAATATCGTCGAGTGCAGGCAAGGTCTAAAGGTGAATAAGCGCTGCTTAAAGGTTTACAAAATTTTTATGTATGCGTTTTTATTTTATCTTTCTAATGCAGAAAGACGATGGATTTCCCACGGCCGAATGCGCGCTGTTGTGTGCTCATCTCCTGGCAAACGCATACGAGCCGACATACGGTGGATTCGGCAGCAGGTCGAGAATGAATTCGCCCAAGTTTCCCGAGCCGGTCAACTTCAATTTTCTCTTCAGTACTTATGCTTTAAGTACTTCCCCTGAGTTGCGTAGGCAATGTTTAGATATGTCTGTACATACGCTGACGAAGATGGCTCATGGTGGAATTCACGACCACGTGGGACAAGTAAGATCTATTCTTTTATCTTTGCAATTATTCTGCGCGAATAGGTTTCAATTATTTGTCGCGTTCAGGGCTTTTCAAGGTACTCCGTGGACGGTGAATGGCACGTCCCTCATTTCGAGAAAATGCTCTATGATCAAGCCCAGATCATACAGGCCTATGCTGATGCTTACATTGCCACGAAGGATTCGTTCTATTCCGACATTGTCGATGATATTGCCACGTACGTCGCGCGTGATCTGCGACACAAGGTATTATTCTGCTCTCTCTGTATTCTAGTTGAATGTATTTCGATAGAATGTTTTGATGAAGTGTCTGGTTTTAATATACAATAAAACCTTTTAATCATATTTTTGAAAAATAAATACAGCGTGTACGTTGCGTTATTTAAGGAAGGTGGCTTCTTTAGCGCGGAGGACGCGGATTCGCTCCCGGAGCCGCAAGCTTCGGCAAAACGGGAAGGCGCGTTTTACGTGTGGACCTACAATGAACTCAAGACTCTTTTGAATAAGAAAATACCCGATAACAATAATGTTGAATATTTTGATCTCATCTGTTATCACTTCAACGTGAAAAAGGAGGGAAATGTGCGAAAGGCTCAAGTACGTTGCAATCGAGATTGTAGAATAAAAAATGCTTCTGAAATAAAATTGATGAATTTCGCTGTTCTCCGTTAATATAGGATCCTCATGGCGAGCTCACGGGCAAAAATGTGTTTATCGTGCATGACGGAATAGAACAAACTGCGGAGCATTTTAATCTTAATGCAGACGATGCCAAAAGCCACGTTAAAGAGGCCTGTCGGATCTTGTTTGAAGAAAGATCGAAGAGGCCGCGGCCCCACTTGGACGACAAGATCGTCACAGCATGGAACGGTAATGAATCATAGTCACTGATGCAAACAACGCATGACGATTATGTCATCGTCATCGCTTTGCATTTCGTGACGCGTGCTTGCACGAAATTCAACGATCTGTGATCTATTTGCAGGTCTTATGATAAGTGGTTTTGCACGTGCTGGAACAGCTGTGAAAAACGAGAGGTACATCGAATTAGCGACGGACGCTGCCAAGTTTGTGGAGCGTTATCTGTTTGACAGAAATAACAGCGTTTTACTTCGCAGTTGCTACCGCGGGGAGGACGACAATATTATGCAAACGTGAGTGTTGTCTTATTTCTGTGTCACAACGCGTGAGCTATCGCCGCGATGTGATTTATAGGAGCGTGCCGATAAACGGTTTCCACGATGATTATGCATTCGTCGTGAAGGGATTGCTCGACCTGTACGAGGCCAACTTCGACCCGCACTGGCTTGAGCTCGCCGAGGAGCTGCAGGACATTCAGGATCAGCTGTTCTGGGACTCGCGGGACGGCGGTTACTTCTCCACTGTTCAGAATCCTCAGATAATTCTACGGATGAAAGACGGTACGCTCGGACGCTTTTGTGGTAATTTTAGTTCGGCCCATTAAACACCAGGGCACTTTAATGTGCGTAGTCGTGGCAGTTTACGTCGAGTAAACGAAACCGAGCAAAGCCGCATTTTGCCGTAAAGATCATCGTATGCAAATATTTATAACGTCAAATATTTATATCGTCTGCTGAATGTCTCATTGCACTCGGCTGTTATATTGCGCTTTTATCATAATTTTGTATTCAAAGAAAAGAGAGTTGGAACCAAAACATGAAGAGTGTAGCCATCAAATAAAAAAAAAACGAGAACGAGTTTCATTACAAAATGTTGCTGAATTAACGAATAGTGAAATGGACAGCATTATTGTAAAATTTAGTCAATTTTCTTAGCGGGAATTAATTAATTATTAGAAAGTTATAATCGAAATTGGACATTTTACGTATTTTGTTGCAGCTCAAGATGGCGCGGAGCCGTCCAGTAATTCTATCGCATGCTCCAATTTACTGCGTTTGGCGTCCTATCTGGATCGCAGCGAGCTGAAAGATAAAGCCGGAGAGCTTCTGAGTGCGTTTGGCAAAGGGCTCATGGAGATGCCAATTATGTTCCCGCAACTGACGGTGGGGCTACTTGATTATCACTACACGACGCAGGTGCGTTCTCTTATTGCTAACAATGCGTGATAATTTATTTAATTTTAAGAAGATATCACTTCTCTCTGAAGAATTCTCAACGGCTTTCTCTTTTCAGATTTATATAGCGGGAAAACCGGACGCCGAGGACACGGCCGAGATGCTGAAAGTTATCCGCGAGCGTCTGATACCCGGTAGAGTGCTACTGTTAGCCGATCCCGATCAGGAGGACAACGTGTTGCTTCGCAAAAACGCGGTCGTCGGCAAGATGAAGCCGCAAAAGGGTCGGGCAACGGCCTTCGTATGCCGACGTACTTGTACCTTGCCCATTACGAGCCCTAGCGAGCTCGCTACTCAGTTAGACGACAGGGAATTTTCCAGCTTATGAACGGTGAGATTGTACAAAGCGATTTATTTTGCGTTGCGCATTTGTCGCGTGTCCAAGACGGCGATGCAAAAGAAGGGAAGACGTCGCCGAAAGATTTACAATATGTCTGGCCGCACCAATTGCGTGCTTGACCTTAAAAAGATTTCCTGTGTTAAATAATGCATTGTTAGACTGCAGAATTGGCGTAGTAAGTCGCCGTAGCATCCGCAAGCGGATCAATAGCACATTGCGGCCGAATAAAGAGATATATCCGACGTGCGTCGCGCGTTAATCCAGCGTTGTTGCTGTATATCGCATTGCGGCCCTATATTTTGGTTCCAAATAAAGTCGCAACTGTACAGAAAGTATGTCAAGCGTCGTTCTCTTTCCCTCTTCAGCTCTGCCTCCCTCTTTCTTTCTCCATCAGTTATCAACGCAGCGGGCGGTGTGTTTCGCGAAACATCAAATACCGCATAATGCGCCAAGCCACTTGAAACGGCCGAGCAGCGTACGCGGAACACGCGTGGTCCATATCTATTTTCGGCCGTGCGCGTGGAGTCGATTAAGGCCGACGACGACGCGTTAGTAATCTCGAACGAATTTGATCGTTTCCGGACACAGCGCGCAGACTTTAATCGCGTATCCAGTATCGGACGGTTGATCATCGCTATTACCTTGTCGTTCTCTCCGTTTTGAAAATCACGTAACGGCGATACACACGTTTTCCGATCACCGAGCAGAAATAGATAGACGGAGCGCACAGGCAGTCAGTCTTAGCAAGCGTTGTGATGTTTCAGCTTCGAGTCCGCATTGCGAAAGTTTTCTTTAAAAAAGGACAAAGACTGCTATCTATTCTTCACACAAATGTTAATGCGATATTGAATATGTTATATACAATTTGTTACTAGTAAAATATAATTATCATATTGAATGTTTTTTGCTTCTTTCGAAATTCGTGCTATTTAAATCATTTTTGAAAAATCTTAATAATTTCGAGAATTAACTATTTTAAAAACAAGTAATAAGTAACAATATAATAAGCAACAGTATAATCTACAGAAATGCGCATATGTGTTTATTAAATTTTTATGAAATATATTCCAGTATTATATTATTGATAGATAATATAAATTTTTAATTATTTCGATTATTATTATATATAAAATATCAATTATCAATCATTAATAACTTGAATGAATTCACTGTCGTACCGCAAATTTTTCCGCAAGTCGCATTTTTCTTGAAAAATTAACCGTGGTCGAGGAACGTTTCTATTTTTGATATATTATTTTTGACGGAGTTCCTATCGGCACACGAAAGCACGAATTGAAAAACGTTCTCCGCACGGTCGCTGCTCTCGAAGCGTTGAAAAATGGAATCGTCAGCGTTTTTTATTGAGTAAAGTTGAACTCTTCAACTATACGTCATCTATCAAGTACACCCTCCGTACTATCGATATTTTTTTCACGTCTCATTACTTGACTGAAGAAAGGAGCTTTGCCTTCCGCTGAATTTGCTTTCCGCCCGATCGTCTTTCGCACCCTGCGGGCGGGATCGCCGCACTCCGATGCTAATCATGCGATAACCCGCGGCGATTCATCAATTAGTCGGACGTCGGACACCGGATACGGAGTTTCGAATGACACAGCGATCAGGGGGGGATGGTAGCGAGGGAAAAAGCACAAGAACCACTTAGTCGGCGCCAGAAAGTGAAAGCGAGGATCTCAAGGACTTGGCCGGATTCTCTCCAGCCTCCTCTTCATCCCTCCGTCTCTTTCTCTCCTTCTCGTTCTCTTTTTCTCGCCCTCCGTCTTGCCGGCCTCGAGTACCAGCCATGAAGGAGCCTCGGTCGGACCGAGACGAGGAACGAGGAGGAAGACGGGGAAAAGCCAGAGGAGGAGAAGATGGTCCGCGCGGCGGTACGCGGGGCGGCGAGGGGTCGCGGGAAAGAGTAGGAAGATCTCCGGATTTTCTCTGGGGGAGGATGTTAGAGGTCGCGAGACGCGGATGAGGCGAGGGACACGCACACACATCGGGGGTCGCGCATGCGTTCGCCACCGTCGACGGGAGGATGTTCGACGTTTTTTTCAGTCACCGGTCGACGCTGCGCCGGGCACCGTCGTCGTCGTGATTACCGGCCGCGAACGCGCGGCTTATTCAGCTGGCCACCACCGCCGTGTGCGCAACCCGTGTACGTCCGCGCTGGCGGCCGCGTGTCCGCACGACCGACATCGCGGTCGATAGACCCCGCGGCTCACGAGAGGAACACGACGATCAGGTGGATAGGATATCCGCGAAAGGTGCTAGTGGGTCAGTTCTGGCCACGCGCTTCACGTGACTCTTCTTCGAAACCTGATCGCATCACCGGGAGTCCCGTTCTCTGTTTTTCTCTCTTTCTCTCTCTCTCTCGCTCTTCTCTCTCTCTCTCTCTCTCTCTCTCTCTCTCGAAGATTCCGCGCCGCGTGACCTCGCGGTGAAAATCGCGCGCGATCATCCTCCAGGGACACCGCGCCACCGGAGCAAGGTTACTGCGCGCTCGCCACGTCCCCAGGTGAGAAGCGCAGGTGAGAGGAAGACCGGGCAGGCGCGTCGAGAGGTAGCTTCGCACTTGGGTCCGCTACCCTCCGCAGAGCTCCGCCGTAAGATGCGATCAGCGGCCGCTCGCTTGCCGCCAGGATCGCGACAGTGTGGAGCAGCGCGCGACGAGTATCAAGGTTGAGACAGGAGCCCGAGGGCGAAGAGGATCGACGTGTTCGCGGCGAGGTGTTGTCGGACGAGCGAATCGAGCGTGAGCGTGAGCGTCCCCGATGACGCCGTCGGGATCGGCTGATTAGTGTCAGGATCGCGATCGCGCGCGCGGAAAGCACTGCGGACGCAAGCAAGCTCGGGCGATGAGAATCTCGCCCCGCGAGGAGTCCGCGTACCGTCGCCTCACGCAGCCCCGGGCGCCGAGGAGGCCGCGACGTCGTTGAGAAGGACACGCCGTGCGCGCGATAGAGGGGCAGCACTCCACAACAAGGGGACTCGAGGATGTCGCTGCACTATCCTCAGGGTTACCGGTACCGATCCGCGTCGAGAGCGGGCGGCGGCGCCGGGGAGCAGGGCTCCGACAGCGACGTGGCGGAGCTCAGCGACCTCGAGGACGACGAGGACGAGGACGGGGCATGCGAGTCCGCCGACAGGCGTATGGTCGTGGAGGAGGACGACGAGGACGGTGAGAACGACGATGATGATGAGGATGACGAGGACGACGATGACGACGACGACGACGACGAGGATGACGAGGACGAGGAGGAGGAGGGCGAGGGTCTGCCCTATCCAGGTTTCGTTCCGATTGCTCTCAGATATCTCGACCAGGCCAGACGACCGCGCAACTGGTGTCTCGCGCTGATCACCAATCCATATCCTTTTGCTACTTCTTCACTAGGTATGATGGATGTGCTTTATGGGACTTTGACCTACATGCACGATCTGGTATTGTTTCAGTCAATGCGATATATTTCTAAAAAATATTTGAAAAAATTAAAAGAGATTAAGATCCTTTCTAAATATGTTTTACGCGTTTAAAAAAAAAAAATACCGGAAGATGAAAATGTCTGTTGGATGTCTAAGGAATGTCTCAAAGATTAGCATGAGTCTTTATAGTGTCAAAGGAAAGCCCGATAAACTAGAACGCCTTTTGAACACCTTCGCAAAGTTTAAAGCGCGCCTCAGTAATTAAGAAGTTTAATTAAGAAGAATAATCTAAGATGAATTAAAGTCTTTAAATTATTTAGACATCTTTAAGGCGCGCTTTTGATGTTTACGTCATCCGTGATTTATCGCGTAGAACCAGAAAATCTTTTCCAAAATGGTATTAAAGTCCGATCATTGGATATCGAGTTGCTATGATTTGCTTTTATAGAAGGTATCGACTGCATCTTTGTGTACATTTGACGAACACAGATTCACTTTTCATGGTCGTGGTAAGCTGGTGCGAACTGTTTCAGTCGATCTTCATTAGGAATTTATTTCATCTCTCCGACTGCACAAGGTTGCGCGTGCGTCAGCATTCGCCGTTAACAGCTATCAGCTTTGTTGATTTTCCTAAGCTGCCATGCAATGTGTAGCGGGATTATCAGATAAGATCAGATAAAGTGCGATATCGAGAAACGCGTTTATCCAGTCGAACGATTTATCAATAGCGGATTTGCTTTGCGGATAAATTCGCGCTTATAGAGATGTAGTAGTGCTCATGCGACGAATTTTGTTTGATCAGGCGATAAATCAGATTACAAAAGACTCACACGTAAAATTATGAAAATACGAAATGCAGTAGAAATCTGTACGTTTTTTCTGACATCTGAAAGAAACATCTGTGCTGCTGTTCATTTGACACGTTTTAGCGATTAAGGAGTGACGTCAAATATTAGGTAGACTGAAAAATAGTATTTTATCTCCAGAATTAAAAACTCGAGCGCAATCGCAAATATATACATATTTGTTAAAAAAAAAAAAAAAAATTAGAGATTGAATACTCTTGTCTTTCTCGTGACAAAATTCTGTTACTTAGCGAATCACTAGAAAAGATTTCCCGTTGATTAAGACTGCAACGCGATTAATCGCCTCCTTGCGCGACTTCAACGTGAAAATTCCCTGAGATTACGTTTAATCGCTCCGCTTTCGTGAGGTGTCTTTAATTTATGAAAGCATTTCACGCGTAGCGCTTTCGCCCCATTTGCCGTGGACGCAACAACTCTATCTCGCCGCGTATTTATCACCGCGCGAATACTCCCGACCAAGTGTAGCGAACACGGTGGTGGATGCTGCGCGCGAGAGAGAGAGAGAGACCTGTCTGAAGACGCCTTAAATAGGTCATTGATTGACCTATCCCCAGGCGAATCCTACTGCGCGCGTAGCCGCTTTCCACAGTGGCACAGTTCCCTCTCGTTCTCTCTCTCTCTCTCTCTCTCTCTCTCTCTCTCTCTCTCTCTCTCTCTCTCTCTCTCTCTCTCCTCTCACAGCGACGGGCTTTTCTTTCTCTGTTACCTGCTCGCGGCATCCCTTTTCCTCCTGCCCGTCGCGCATTTTCCTCTCGCGTTCCTGGCGCGTATACGCGGTGCCGCCTATATCCGTTTGTGCGGGAAATTACCGGGGTGGCGTGCGGCGGCGGGACGCGCACCGCACGTGGTGCGACGGCAGCCGGGCAAAGTTTAGTCAGCCGCCCATCGGAGCAACAAGCGCCGAGGGAAGTGCGGCGGCAGAAAGATCTCTCCATTGTGCGCGCGGACAATGGGGACGGGTTGTGGAGCACCGCGGCATCACGAATGCGGGGCCTCCGAGCCTGTGTTTCGCGTTTCACTGTCGCCGCACCCGCCGTTTCCGCTTTTCATTTCCCTCGTCCGTCGCAGTTACGTTTCGCTGTGCGGGTCTCGCCGTTGAAAATCGGACGCCAGATACCGACCCGATGTAGGCCGACGGGTTTTTATCAGAGAAACCCCGCGCGATATCGAAAGCCCTGTCGCGAGCGAGATTTTTGGATACGCACGGAATCTAATAAATTTCGGCGCGCGTTGCCGCGTCCGAAATCGTCCGTCGCGCGCGTGCTGCCGTAGCGTAAATTCACGGAAGGAATGTTTATTCCGAAGCGAAGGCACGCGTTCAATAATGATAACAATGTCAGATAAATGCACTAATGTGTTTGCAATATGAAATAAATTGCAATATCATTGCGCGCAATCGATCATATTCTACGCTGCTCGCGGTATCGAAGAGTCGCTGGGCAGTTTTAATTCACGGAGTTTTGTGATGCATTTCGCTGGGCGCGTATCAAAGCGACGGACGCCCTTGACCCATCGATGTTTAATTCTAGCGGAACCAAGGGCGGACCAGAAAATGTCAAACTGCATTTCTCCTTGAACTACTTGCTGTAATTGTGTTGCAATTATAACTTTTGCAAATCTAGGTGTACCCTCAATTAACGTAATAATTGGAACACTCGATACGAGGATTCTTCTAAATTTCAGTATTAAATTATAACGTATTTTTAATGAGCCTTTAATGTACAGTAATAATTAAATTACTTATAACCCGCTGCGCGTTACACTTCGGGACTCCGTTTTGCACAACTTGCTTAAAAGTTCGGGACTGAGCAGCCACGCGACGCGGCCTGAGAAATTAGTCGATAAACAGACGTCGCATTTCTCTTAATCCGATGAAGCCTCTAATCCGCGAGAACACTTTGCTGCTAGTTACTCCACTTGAAGACTAAATACGAGATTACATGATGCAGGTTGCGTGGAACGGTTGCCATTACCGGGATAAACGGCCACCTCTGTTCCAGTTTGATAGTTTGCTTCATTATCTTAAGTGCTGTGAAACGACCCAGCAGTTATTTGCGCTTTAATCCGATTACGAGTATTCTCCATGTTTAATTAACTCATATAATGTTAATGCTTATTTACTTATACAGATTGTTTTCTTGAAGACTTTCCAAGTTAATTGATTCGAAGTGTGCGACAGAGTCGGAAAAGAATACGCGCGCAATCCGGTCACCGGAAACGTCATATAATCGATGTATATTTTTTTACATGCCTGCTCGCTATATCCTTTTCTAATTTTAAGATCTTTATAGGTGTACGTTTCCTTGGAATTTGAAGTGAAACAGTACGAAACGGAAGAAACGTCTGCTCCACCACTGACGTTTTGTTTAACTACTTGTCACTCTTTGGCCCGACGTACGATTGCACTGCACTACTGCGTCGGTTGACTAATTGAGCTCGAACTACTGATTCTCGCAAACGACCGGTTGTTTCTACCGCGTTCATACCGCTTGCTTTTTGTTTTCATTCCATTTCCGCAAAACGACCAGACCAGACGATGCAATCATTTGTTAAATATTCGACGACTGCAAGCACGTCGTATTTATGCGAATATAATTAGAACATTGTCATGCACGGAAACATACGTTTACTTTCATCGCCTTGGCGAATATTAAACTAAATGTGACGCTTGAAATTGCGTTAAACTCATCAATATTTAAACAGATATTAAAACATTTTTATTACAAAAATAATTTTTTTAAATGGCGATAAAAAATGCAGAAAAAATATAGATTATTACGTAATATTATTTCTTGTTTGCAGCGAAAGTAGTGCTAGTAAATATTGCTAAGTAAATATTAACTTTATGATAACTATGTCATTTTGTGGAGAGTGATTTTTTGGCCTCAAACAACGGGACTTGATCGAACGACTTGATATTAAGGACAGATCTTTCTCGATCTTATCAGATTCTCGTGTGTGCTCTTTTTCACTAAATCCTCCTGACGATTATCGATCTACAATGAATAAGGATTCAAGCTCAAAGCGATTGTAGGACCGGGGAAAAATAATCGACTGACTAAAGCGAGGCAAACGAGGCAATCATCCGCGGCCTCGAACGTCGCCGGAAGCGGCAGTCGATCGAAACAATTTGCTCGGCCGCCTCGGCCGCTTGATTGTCTATTAAGCGCCGCGTAAATGAGCGCCGATGAGAGCGAGAGGCGTCGATGAGAAACAGGTTGACGGGCCATCACCGACCGATCGACACGTAACAAGCGCGTACGTAAAAATCGATCGCTTAAAGCGTTTCTCACATCAAACTTATCGGTGATTATGCATATTATTAGTCAATGATATCGCGAATAATAAGCGATATCGTGCAAAAATCGCGTACTTAAGAAATTAATTATCTTCTGGATCGTGACGAGATGTAATTTGCTTTCATGAGAAACAATTTCAGTTTTTAAAATAGTTAAATAATTAAAATTCCTTACCTTAATTTTTTTTTTGAAGAGAAAAGTAGCTGTCGGCCGAAACATTCAGAAGTAAATTTGTAATACGAAGATCGATTTCGCTGAATTTTATTAATTCAGTTCTGCACCTCCCATCGAGAATTCCAGATGAAAATTCTTCCTGAAAAAAAAAAGATGACAAATTAGTATAATGAACATTTTTTTCTTCTAATACACGCGTCTTTCATACATTGAATATAAAAGAAATGATGTAATACTAATGAATATCTTTCGCAATAAAAATGCGGCACTGGTAATTAAAATGTAATTTCATATTGCGACATCTTTCCAATACTTTGATTTCATTTCTTTTGACAAGAGAGCTTTTGTGAGAAAACGTACGAGCTCTGTCAATGAAAATATCCAAGAGTCATTTATATTATATGAAGATTTTCTGCATTACGGAAGTCGAAACACATTGCGAAGTCCGGTCGGTCGGTTTCTTCGGTGCAGCAGTTATATTCCTAGAATTTGGGCCTCGCGTGTTTCCGCACTGCCGTACAGCAGCGCTAATACGTGCAAGATTTATGTAAACGGTTGCATATTGTTGCAGTGGGCCAAGAATTCTGCGCCAACGGCCACTGCAGC